CATAGTCTCCCATTAGTAACCTGCTTACCAAGCATATCAACTACTGGCAAAACCCCTCAGTTAACGGCTAATATGATAATATACCTTCTATATATGTACAGAATTTACAAATACTAAAACTATTACTCAACATTTCCTAATAAAATACCAACATTTCTCCAAGTCTATTTCCATTTTCTCCAAAATAATAATTTCTTTAAAATTAAGCGAATACTAAAGTTTTTACCCAAAATTATGAAAAATACCCAATACTAGCAACGCTGTACTAATATCTTGCTAATGTTTAATAAACTAGTAAATAGACAATATCTGCACATGAAAGATATTTAAGAAAAAATTGATATGTTAAGTCTTAATAATTATATGATCAGGTCCTAATAAGAACAATAGAAGGCAAAATTGTTATTTAATTTTTTTTATATTTTTAGAAATTTTGTTTATGTACATATACATATGTTTCGGCAGCATACAAAAACTACTGCACTAATTTGCTATTTTCGCATTTGTGCCTCTGAAGTTATGACTTAAAATCTGGTGTATCTCTTATCTTAATACGCCACCTAAAAATGATCTGTTTGACTAAATACCCTACTTCTGAAATAGCGGGAATAAACTAGTATAAAATAAAATAAATTCGCCACATCGCAATAGATACTTACACAAAAGCGGCCATTCTCCAAAGATACAAGTTTGTCTGAGGACGTCGATGTTAAAACGTACCTCATTATTATTAGAAACAAAATTATCTATCTTCGCTTTCATTTCTTATTTTCTATCGCCGCCGATGGAGGGTCCGACCATAAAAACTTTCTCATAAAACAATTTTGAACGAAGACGCCCGATTGTATCGAAACTGTCTTGTGTTTGAAATTAATTAACTTGAGATATTTGTTTTACTTGAATTAGTATCGGGAAAATCTTCGGCCGATAACAAATAATAAAATACGTATTTTAAACGTAAGTAGTAAATACGAGTATATTTTACGACCAAACCGAAGGATAGGTGTAAAAAAAATTAAATCATCAACGTGACTACAGTGAAGACGCAGTGCAGCACATACTTGATGAAGCCAGAGTGGACTAAGGAACAGATGGCACTAACAACTATCTTTGTTGGGGATGTATTTTTTAAATTAATGATAGTGGAACGGTAGTCTCATCTGTGCTAACAGTATATATTGACCAGGTACCAGTGAAAGATGATAAGAGAGATGAGACTGAAAAGAAAAAGAAAAAAGGCTAGTTATGTAGCCCATTGTGATGAATTCACTTGGAATTAAACACGATGGTTTCCAGGAAAACGTGCGAGGAGGTCGACGTAGCAGAGTATATAACTAGCTAGGTAATCAATCCCTATTTCTTTTCCTCCTCCCTCCCACTTCCTCCTATAAGATGATATGGCACTACCTTTACCGTTCGTAGCATAACATCTATAGTTGGCTGTAAAAGAGGTGATATCTGATATATAGTGTCTGATTGATGATCTACCACTGATCAAGGTTACCACTTTCTATCAAGTAGCCCATCAGCTTGTTTGCCCCTCTGAATTGTATAAAAAATAAAATAAATGTATAAATAAATAATAAAACATTTCATTATTGAGACGGAGCCACTGTTTCTTTGAGCCTCTCGATCACATTTAATTGGTAAAAAGTTTGACAATGTCCAAGATATAAGTAATGGCAATTTCGCGTCGCAATCTTTCCGTGAAACTTTAAGACTTACATCTCCGAAGCTATTTGGTGTTTAGATAGAGTCCCTAACATAAACTAGTTGTGTCGGTGCTCTCACAGAGTTAGTGAAACTTTTAATAGTGTTTCTCTCCCGTGAGTGCCTACGGGACGTTCCGGCGTACATCAGCTGTATACCGGTTATCTAGCAAGTTATTACAAAAATAGTTGCCAAGTGGTTTGAAACGAGAGATGGGTATACAATGTATATAAAAATACCTAAAATAAGAAATACAATTTAGAATAAGTTATTAAATATTTTTAACTATTTTCAGGTTAAGACTAGTAACATTAAATTTGAGAGATGCGTACTTCGAAACACTTATATCTTCCAACACAGTAAGAATTGTTATACCACTATTTATACAAGTACTTCTAATTTTCTACAAAAAATAGTGGAATGAAGAAAGATTTTATCTAACCAATCTTCGGAACTTGCTTTAATTTAATAATTAATTTGATAAGATGATAAAAAATTTTATTTCACAGAATAAAAACAGTTTTAAACAATATTCTTTACTGGCAGTTTGCATTCATACAAATTCAGAATTTAAAATATTCAAATTTCGAAAATAGGAGTTGAGTTTCTTGTCCGTTTTTCAAGGAATAATGAATGAATACCTAGCTATTACATTCCATACATTAAAAAAATTGTTCAAGTATATTCAGAATTCGCAAATATAGCATAAACATCATACGAAACTATAACACGAAAACTATGGCATGGAATATTATAATGGAAAAGTTCTGTTAAAGTTAAAAAAGTATAAAATGTTTATTTACCCCGCTTTCTAAAAGAAAAATCGGCTTCACTCGTATATTAAATATTTTAATTATCGTTTCCTTTATATATAGGGGTTGAAAAGAAGAAAAAAATAATTTTAATTCCAATAAATTTAAATTTAAGCATTTTTGAACAGTTATTTTATATGGCTCTGCCGTTCTTTTAGAATATAATATCGATTAAGAAAAACGGACAAGAAACTCAACTCTTTTTTTTCGAATTTTGAATATTTTAAATTATAAATTTGTATGAATGCAAACTGCCAGCAAAGAATATTGTTTAAAAATTTTCTGTTAGACAACAAAAATTAAAAATAATGCGTTAAACAATCCAATAGGTGAAAACGTTACCAATATATTCAACATGTGCAAAGGTATCTAGCCCCGAGCATCGAAGCAGGCTCTAGAGATTTCGTATCCCTAAATTCCCGATGAAAACAAAGAATCCGTGAATACAGGTACGCGAGAACGCGGCGAATGGAAATTTACATCCTAATTTCCCACGTGGATTCAACCGACTCTTTATTCGTCAGCAATATCAAAAACCGAATATCAAAACCATTGCAGGTCATACGAGTAATTCTGTTTGCTACCGAATTTTGGAAATATGTTACTATTTATTGTATATTATATTCGAGATAATCAGATTTACTTTTTATTTTTCGTGATTTTTTATTTCGAAGCCAAGTTATAATAAAATTTAAAAATAATTATTGCGTCGCTATTTGTAAAAATATCCAACCCGACGATTAGTTTCAATTTCTACAGTCTCATTTCACGAACGGATAACAAGAATAGTACAATTAAAATTTTAAAAAATAATCAAATACCGAAGCAATCAGTTCAATGCAACTTAAAAAAAAAAATCTTCTTTTAATGTGTTCTGCTATCATTTTTAAGAGACCACATTACCAATTTCGATTTTATTACCAAACAATTATCAACTGCTCGAAATGAAAGTATAATTAAAATCTAACAGCCTGCGACCCGGTAATGTCTCAAATTTTATTATAAGCCCATTTCCGACACCTATTACTTGCCTAAGGGTGTACTCATCCTCACTTAATGCATTTAAGTCAGTAGTAGGTACCTACCTGTATACCAGTTCAGAAATCAGCTAAGCAGAAAATAATACTAATGTTTAGAATCTACATAGATTCTTTAAATTTTACCTCACAATTAAAAATAATAGAATTGCGTCTATTTATTGCATAAGTAACATATAATAATAAGACTGCAAGGTACTTTGCTATTCCGATTCGTATAAGGCCTTTAGTTTATCATTATTTTTCGCTTTACAATCAAGAAAAGAAAAGTAATAAAAGAAATCTTTTAGTATATTTTAATTATTTACAGTACGTATTACCTGCATAAAACCCACTAATTGCGAGCGACAGCTAAACTGAAGCACTTTTGTGATTACCGCCACCGTCTAGCCAGTAGTGGTTGGTACTCGAGCTGCGGAATTCGTCACCTGTTGAAAATAATTAGGCAAAAAAATCTGTGGTAAAACAAAAATACAGGTGCCGTAAAACCAGAATTCAATATCCAAGCCTTTCTGTGGTAACTACTCGACGTGAAAACTCGAAATTTTCAAACGTAGTTCACTGACGAGAATTTCGCCCCGAAAACTGTTGAACTAGTGCGCTTGAATGATGGGTTCGGTGGTGTGTAACGAATTTTCTTAGCGATAGCATTACTTCCATTTACCTTTACCTATAGGTAGAATCTGTTTATTATTAAGGTTTTTTTGTAATACTTGTCCCAATTAGTATGTATGCAATCTTGATAATGTAAAAGTATTTAAATAAAAGCCAGATGGATTGTGCTCACCTCAAAATTGCCTGATGCCACCCAAGTATGTGTACGAAGCTTCGCAGAGATGCGTCTGTGAATATAGATGGATTTTATCTGCCTGCCCTAGAATGCTTGATAAATATTATTTATAGTTACGATTTCATTCGCACTGGAAGATACTGATTAATAGCGAAAAAATAGTCCTTGTATTGTAATCCGTATTAATATTATAAACGTTGAAGTAGATTTATTTACCAATTACTTCTTGATTCATCAAGATGCTTTAACAATTAACCAATCAATGTATTGTTCATTCTCGTAATATGGTCTAAGATCTCCTCTTCCGTCTCTTCAGTTTATTCTACAATGTCTCGATCTACATACATTTCATAGGCTACAGTCACCGTTTACCATCAGATAGATTATATGCTTGTTTGTTTGTATAAAAAAATGTGTTGTAGCTTTCCAAAGCTTTATAACTTGTAGATTGCTGCAAAAATAGAAAAGGTATCGTCAAAATTAACACAAATCATTTCGGTGTTCGCCTATATTCAACAGTGGATGATGGCTGAGCTGATGATGATGATTTTGGTTAGGCATGGCAACCCCATAAGTTAACGTCAGTTCCTCAATAACGTATATAATATCAACTGTCAACGTCAGCGCAATTAGCGATTAGAGGTTGACAACTTTTTGACATTTTCTATCATTTTCTTGCAGGAATGTAAACATATTGATTTGTTGTATTTTTATCATATTTTATTGATTTTCGTTGAAACAACCATTACAAAATGGACCAGGAGACAGCAAAGAAGCTCCTCGTTGAGGGAGGTACATTTGTGTTTCTCGGAGTGCCTGAAGAGACACAATTTGGCATCGATATGCAATGTTGGAATACAGAAGAAGATTTTCGAGGGATAAAAATGATACCACCTGGTTTACACTATGTCCACTACTCAGCGGTTAGTAAAGGAACTGGCGATATATCTCCGAGGCAAGTATCTCGTTGTACAGTTAATAATATAATGTAAAACTTTATATGTTAGCCCATCCACCATCACAGCTAATGGTCGTTTTATCTAAACATTGTTTTTGGTCTGTGTATGTATTTGTCTATAGGAGATTGTATTTATAGCGATTTACAATAAATTATTTGTATTTTTTTATCACTTTTTTATTAGCAATCTAATAAATTTTATATAATACATATCTTATTTAATGAAAAGGTCAAATGTCAGGCCTACAGTACTTTTTTAGTTATTAAAATAAAATAACCCTACTTTATAAAAATATACTACTAAGAAGCTTAGAAGGCACATCCTAAATATTTCCTATACATATTATAATAAAAAATATAGATGAAAACAATTAATACTTTGTATCAATCAAACCATAAATTTATAATAATAAACAATGGTAACCAGAAATATATTTTTTAATGTTTAATTTTTTAAACGACATTTATCTTTGGTATATCAGCCCCATCATACACAAAACTATTTTTCAAAATTAACTTTTAAGGTACTTGCCTTTTGTACTTATGTTCTGAATTAGAATAATTGTATTTAAAACCAGTTTAATACACTGAAACTTTTTAAGACATTATTACTAGCTGTACTATATGGCTGTATATCTAATCTATTTATTTTCTAATTAATCTATTTACCAAATTTCCTTAAAGTCTATGTAGTTAAGTGCCATTGAAGAACAAAATATTGAAATGGCTTTACAAATTTTCACACTGTACTGTGATTGTAATGACTGGAAAATGTTTACATATATTGAAAACAGGTCAGGATTTATGCACTATTTCAATAAGAAAGAGTTCCTTGTAAAGATGTGGGATAAGAAATTGGAGGATATAAGCCGAGATGAAATAAGTGAAGAGAGTATTCAACGTCTGAAGGATAACCTGTTCAACTTGGACCGACATCTGGCTCCATATCCATATGAAATATGGCAGAAATGGAAACTACTGACTTCACAAGTTACAGGTTTGTTTTTATTATTACTGACATACATCAAAATTATAAAAAAATATTAATTATGAGTTGTTAAGAGTAAAATTGCATTAGAAATAACTAATGTTGCTATTTCAACATTATTTCCTTTTTAAAGTTAGTAAAATAAATACAAAATATGTTTTAAGGTATATAAAAATATTGCAGTATATTATTTATTAATTTTTCTAAAACACTTATCTAGATAAATATATAATATTAGTACTAACATACCTACCACACAAACACCAATTGAATCTCAAACTCCAAAGAAAGTGAATTTTTAAATTTCACATTTATTATTTTAAACATTTATAATACTTAGAATATAAACAAGCTGATAGAAAATGGTAACTATCATCTGTAGACACCTAAAAAAAATTATCTGTAAGTAATTTTTTTTTTGTTACGAATAAAAATTTTTAATATTTACAGCTGAACTTGCTGCTAAATTGTCTCCTGACAATGGCATCATAAGAGCTTCAGTAGAACTCATGTCTACAACTGATGAAGACAGGCCCCGAGGTGTAAAGGCTTCCAGCAAATCTATGGAGAGTCAGGACAGTAATAGTGAAGAGTCACAGAAGGAACCGGAAACAACAGAGGATGACTCTACTCCTGGACAGTCTGATGCCAAAAGAGCTAAAAGAATTACAAGGGAAGAGAAAGAGGATTCTATGTTACCAGATCTAAAGCCTGCTCCAGGTATAATATTTTTATTTTACTTTTTTCTATATAATCAATTATATATTTTACATTGTTACAAAAAGCCACTAATTTGTCCTTCTACTTGTCTATAGCAGAATAATCTAATCCATTCATTGTATATCCAATTTATCTAGCAGTTTACATCTTGACCTATGATGATTTTCCTTAAATCATGAAACACTTTCAATTATAATGAAATACTTATTGAAATGATATTAAAATTATATAAATGACAGCTGTGCCCATGACTTTTTAACATATCTGTGATATATTTATTGAAACAAAAAGAAGCCTATGTGGCCTATGTGACCAGACCACTGAGTAGTGTGTATGAAAAATTTCATTATTAACTGTTAAGATACCAGATATTTCAGAATAAATTTTACATGTTAGTAATTTCAAATGTAACAATAAAAATATAGATGGATGTTTGTTAATCTTTCACACAAAAACTACTGAACAGATTTAAATGAAATTTGATGCATGGGTAGGATATATTGTAACTTAGCACATATGATAGTTTATGTACTGCTTCATGGGCAAGATACAGGTAATAATGAAAATAAATGTGTGAAATATATTAAATTTACAGGCACATCAATCAGATTCACAGAGATTCCACGTGACAAATACCCACCGGGTTCAACACCAGAGGAAATCACAAAACATTATTTGGACCAATCTTACACACTTGAACTCATGATTGCACAACATGATGAGTAAGTTTATACATTAAGTAGTAGATTGTATATTAAACAACAAAGTCATATTAAACAATATGGATAAAACCATATTAGAGCAAAAATAATTGATAAGGGTGGAAGATGATGATTGTATATTAAAACTAAGAGCAAAAGATAGAGATACTTATGTTAAAACTAGATGAGGCTTATACCCAAAAAGGGATTCCTATCCTAGAATAAAAAGGAAAATTAGGATATTGAAAAAAATAATTTAAAATTATATGGTTATATATATTATGGAAAAAGTAAAATGTATAGGCAATAAATAAGCTTTATTATTATTATTATTATATTGAACAAAAAACTTGACAACTTTGCCATTTTCAACAATTGTTTGGACTTCATCTAGAAGACTTGTTAAGTTCATAAAATTCCCATTATACATATACATAAATGCCTTTAATATTTATGTAGTTTTTTTCTTTATTTGACTTGATTTCTTTTAATTTTTTTTTTTTTATTACTGGAACAAACTATGACTGGGAGAGTTACAATAAGATTAAGTGTAAAATGCAACCATCAGTCTTTTATTTTGATATTTTTTGTTTGTACATTAATCAGATATATGTATATTATTTTCAGACCACTTCACATAATAGGTGAATTGCAATTTGCATACTTATGTTTCCTCATTGGACATTCCCTCGAAGCATTTGAGCATTGGAAGAATTTAGTTATACTCCTCTGCTCCTGTGATGATGCGATTCACAAATACCGAAGTGTCTTCTTCCATTTCATTAGAACAATAGAAGTGCAAATTGAAGAAATGCCTGAGGATTTCTTGGCTGATATAGTCATGAATAAGAATCTAGTTTATAAGAAATTGCGCGAATTCTTCCGCACAGCATATGTAAGCAAAGTAGACGGACGATTGCTGACAATGATTGAAAGATTCAAGGAGAATTTGACTGAGAAACTACAATGGGATTTCACAGGATTAGATGCAGACGAAGAAGATGAACGACCAGTTATAGTAAAGCTAAATGAAGAAGGAGACTAAAATTGTATTTTATTAATATTTATTCTGATTCTATCATCTATGTATTTTGATTCACAATTGAATCAATTCTGTGTAGTGTGTACTGTGTACATTTCAGATTCTTTTGATGTTTTTATGACTATTTTAATGTTAAGTAAATCTTGACCAGCAAAATTAAAACGCCGCTAAATGTAACTGTCTCGCTGAAATTGTCAAATAATAATTATCGTGAATTATACTGTATTGTAATTATTTATATCAAGTTTACTCACATTTTAAATATGGAAATACTCGACTAGTTTCGAACCTAATAGGAGCCCTTATTAATGCACACAGTTTACAGTTGTGTCAAAAGTAATACTGCATGACCAGCGCGCTATTTATAATAGCAGTGGTGGTGGGACTGATCGTATGGCACTGTACAGTCGTGTTCTCACGTCGCCATGTGACGGGTTTAATTCCCAGGTCATTCCAATCATATCATACTGTGTCGCACTCCAAGCACTTAACATTAGATAGAATGTCTCATTTTAAGTGTAACCATCAAAGCTGGTTTTCAGGCGTATTCAGTTGATACTAATCGGGCATCCCTGAATTTAAAACGTAAGTAAAGGTGACGTAAATAATTGTTGTCAGTCTTTTGTTGTAACGTTTAATGTCAAATTACAATGCAATATTATAGTGATAATAAGTTAGTCTGATAATGAGGCTGGAAAGCCCTAGGAATTTTATAATACAACAATGCAATTCTATTCACATCGTGCTCATTTTGATTTGCCTTGAATCAAAGCAAATCAAAATGAGCAAGGCCGAGGCCCTTGATGATTACTTGAAAATAATTCCAAATAAATTAAATAATTTAATTGTATCTGAACGTGGAACTTATCATTATTAATCAATGATTTTAAGAAGTCGTTTTAAATATATTTTATTGTTAAATGATTTGATAAATTACTGATGTTCATTTTCAAAGAAAGGGGCTTGATGATCTAAGACATAGACAGTTTGCTGTCCAATTTAAACATCAGTCCCCCACAACTATGTTTAATGTTATTTTGCCAATTATATTTTAGTATGGTTATGATGCAAAAATAAAATATTATAAAAAGAAGTGAATTTCAACCAAAATTATAAGGAATATTACATAAGAGAATATTTAACTCTATCATGCAACGCTAACACCTGGAAGCACTGAACATGTAACATTGAAATATAATTATTATACACCTTCATATATTTTCTCGTTCGCATGACTATACGAGTAAGACTAATATTGCCAGCATTTATAAAAAAAAAAAAAATATTATTAAGATTACTTTTTAGTTCCACAATATCATGGCGAGGGTTTTTATTTTACTGGTCAAACATCCATAAATGTGAACCCCACCACATATCAATGTTTCTTTATAATAATAATAGTAAAGTATTATACCAAATAGTAGAATTTTTCTCTTATCCTTTTTTGAAATTTATGGATGTTTCTATATGGGAAATAAATTTTGAATTCAATAAAATATACCTGTGTTTACATAATTGTTTTATTAATAAGAACCTTCCAAGGAATTATAATTACCACTATTTTTTCTTTTTAAACTGTTTCTTTGTTATCTTCTTAATATTTTGTTTTTCAAATTTAGATTTCTTTCCAGCTGGAACATCTTCCTTTTTTGCACTGCCTGTAAATAAATATTTATTGGCTGAGACTCGATATCTTTTTTGATGGTCTATACAATTCTCATAGAGAGGGAGGTAGGTAGGTTTTTTTTTATTATTATTGAAAAGTACCACCATTGGTCACGATCTCCACCTGATTAAAAGCAATGATAAAAGCGACCGATTGGCATTAACGAAAAGAAGAAGAGAAGAAGCAATGATGTGATCTAAGATGTATCCACAAACAAAAACTATCTCTCAAAGTGTAGCAAACAATGCACATTTACTAAATTTCATTAAAATTGTTTAAACAGTTTTGGATATCAGTATGAATGAATGATGACAGAGTTTTAACATATTAAGAAGATATTATTAAGAAATTAACACTATATTACTAACTTTCAACAGCTTTCCTTTTTCCTGAATTAGATTGTTTCGATTTTATGGCCTGATTCACCTGTTTTTGCACTTTCGTTGAAGTAGGGCCCTTTTGTACTTTACTTGTGTTATGCACCACTTCTTCAGAACTGTAATAAACAAAACACACAAATATACATGTTATTTTTTTTTAAGTTTCACAATTTGAACTTATCTTGTGAAACTTAAAAAAAACATATAATTGAAATTAGTAATAAGAGAGCATTTTAACATATTTTCTTATTTAGTATTTTAAAATCGCTTGGAGTCCATTTTTTAATTGCCCCCCCCCCCTAACTATAAAATAACTACGCCCCACATGAGGGCACCTAGTGGGGCGTAGGTTCGACGTTGAGAAATACCGATTTAGGCTATTAATTTAAACTCACCTTTCTGAGTCACCATCATCATTTTCACTCCTGTCACCTTCAGAAGACAAATTTGAATTAAATTCATCTTCATTCTGCATAACTTTTTCATATTCATCTGAATCAAATACATATGAGCTATCAGAATCATTTGATTCTTCTTCAAGTTTCATGAAATCTTCTGCAGGTTTCACACCAGCTTCTTTTAATTTATCTTGTTTCTGTTTCTGTTGCTTTTTATCAACTATAACTTGCACATTTTGCTTTCCTTTTGTTTTTACATCCTTTACAGATTTGTCTACCACTTTAACAGCAAGGTTATTTGTTTTTCTTTTATTTTTTAAATCTTTACCTTTCACTTCCTCTTCTTGTTTTAATACCTTCTTTTTATTTTTCAATTTAGTCTTCTCTTCTTTGATATCTACATCTTTTTCTTCTTTAATGTCTGTATCTTTTTCTTCTTTTATCTCTATTTGAGACGATAATTGTTCAGGTACATCAACTGGTTTAAAGAAATCATAATTCAGCCCTAATTCAGCTAGTTTTTTCTTGGTTCTTGTCAGACTGAAAGTATTATAAGAAAATTTAGTTAATATCATAAGTATTCTTTAACTAATTAAAAATAGAGTAATTTTATTATTAGTTTAATGTCCTTACTTGGCCAATAATTTTTTAGCTCTTTTTAGTTCTCCACTTTCATCCCTATTTTCATTGTATACCTGTAATAATTCAAATAAAATTTGTCATAATTACTATATAACATTCTATAAAATGCATAGATTGTATAATATAAACAACAACAAAATTATACACCTCTACACTAACATAACAAGTCCAGCTATTAGTATAAGAGTTTAAGCATTTTAAATTTTTCAATACATGTTTCTCTGGCAAAAATGTTCAGATTTACTGATAAAACATTTATTATTAGGATAATAATTTCAATTTAAACCTAATTATAATAAAAATATCAAAAATACCTTTTTATTTTTAAGTCTTGCTTCATTGCCTGGATTATTAACTCTATTCCACTTTTTCCTTATAGCTTTCCTTTGTTTCTCAGGAGGTATATAAACCGCTAAAATAAAAAAAAATATTAGGTACAAAGTTATATATAAAATATTAAAGTATGAGTATACAATAAGTACCATTATAAATTAAAAATGCTTCAATCTAAGTTATTTTTGTGCAATATAAGGGTTTTACCAGCGGAAGACTACAAAAGCTGGCTTCATGGGGACCTCTATTGCATCAATGTTTCTGTCATAAAGCAGCAATGCTTGCATAAGTGTATTTCAGTTTGTAGGATGAAGTATAGCAGTGAAAATATAGCCTTTTAATCCTCAGAAATGGCAATGTGTGAGGGTACAATGTGCATCGTACTTTATGGAGTCATATCTATGTTATATATATTTCCCGTGATATATTATTAAATAAGTATAACAGACTTAGGTCTGTTATATATATAGATATATATATATATATATACTAAATATATAACTAATATATATATATATAGATATATATAATAACCTGATAAAGCATATTGCTAGCAATGGAGCTGTCAGCATTAATAATAAAAACCCCATTAGTAACAATCACTTCTCCTCCTCTATTTCTATTATGTGGACTGTCATCTTCTTTGCCATTGTAAGTATCATAAATAATTATTACTCTACCTTTGATTAGTCTCTTTCCCATTAAATAGTTGTTCATAGTCTCAGCAACTATTTCAGCCACAGATGGTTCCTTAAATTCTACAAATGCATATCCTTTAGAATTGCCTGTACGCTTGGATCTAATTACTCTCACATTTGTAACTTGACCAAATTGCTTGAAATATTCTGTCATTTGATGCTGAAAATGAAACAGTTAAATTTGTAAAAATATTTGGTAAATATGAAATACAGTAATGTTTGTCATAATTTATTCTTGAAAAATAATAAATACTGCAGTTTATTAAAAAAAAATAAGAGTAGAAAAAAAATATTAAAAGTAAAAATCTGCATACATCTTATGGATCATAATAAAAGTAAGTAAACCTTATCGAGCACAATAAACATTTTGAAAACAAATTATTCACCCGATCAATTTACGTGGGCAAAGCAAATAAAATAAAAACAAATAACCTCGTAAAATCCATGAGGGATATGAGCCAAGTAAACCAACCCCCTGTCTGCTTCTTTCTTTTTCTTAACATCGCGGGGTTTTTTATTATTAATTACCAAATTTGGTCCCTTCTGATCTTTCTGCAAAGTAAATAGAAAGTAAAGATAATTATTATTAAAAAATAAAATAAATGCTTTCATCGCATAACCTCAATAATATATTCTCATCACCTTGATTAATTTTTTTATTCCTTTAATAGACTTTACAAACTGTTTTTGTTTAGTTGAGTCTAGTGCTACATTTTCTTCCATTATCGCTTATTGTATTAATCGCTTACTGTACTAGTAAATAATTATTATATTATGAAAAAATAAAAAAAGCATGGAAAATGAAAAGATCAACAGATTACAGACATTATTCAATACCCCAGGTATGATTGACAGACTGTCACACCGATAATTGTCAATGTCACAAAAACAGAGCGAACACAGAACGTTAATACACAGAGTAAGTAATCACTACACACAACTAAGAACAAGAACTCCTTGTTCTTAGCAACTATATAAGAAACGGATATAGTTCCGTTTCTTAAATAGAAAAAAAAATTTAGATTAGAACAAAACAAAATTGGATAAAAAGATCAAAAATTGCATCTGGTAACCCTGACCTTTCCAAGTTTCATTTTAATATGCATACATCTTTTTACGATTGTTTATACTAAAATATTAGATATTTTTTCTTATGCATATATTCTGTTTAATCTGTGTTATGAATGGGAGTCGCTGAATAAACAAAAAAACGGATTTATTTTAATTCTTTCCATTGTGTAAAGAAAAAACACATGCTTCACCAGTTTGTTTCCAAATAGTCTTGCAGCAGTCATGGCCATGACTACTGGCACTTTAAATCAGTACATTCAGTTCGTGGAGAGGATATACAGGACCGGTCAAGGCACAGTTTTGTCGAGGCTATTGTCTTTGAGGGACGAACATGTTGCGAATAGAAACTTACGATCGAGCGACATCGCTACACTCGTGGAAGGGAACTGTGTGGCTCCTTTGGATGAAATAATCATCACTCATTTATTATGTGTGAAGGTAAATTATTATGCTGCTTTATATATGTGGTAACAATGTAAGAATTCAGTACTTAATTTTATTTCGGTATTTACCCACTCTAATCCCGCCTACATTATCAGTATATATTGACGAAGTACCATTTAACAATAACAAATGTAGATAAAGTCAGGTAGTTCGGTCCATTGTCTCAAATTTTTTATGAATCGACTATGATAGTTTCTAACAGAATATTGCTAGGAATTAGGTCATTAGACCTGTATCCCCTCACTTGGGCCATTGTGTGTGAGCTTTGTTTGTCTAACCAACCCCAGACTAATCCCGAAGACTGCTTAAATTGCCACAGACTTACGAAACAGGATTCTCTAATCTCAAGACCCACACACTTTATTCAACCATGCTCTAGCACACTGTCAGCATATGATTAGGTTTTTCTTCAGCTATCATACATATATGGCAAACTGCAATTATATCAAGATTAAAAAGAAATTGTTCACTGAACCTATACCTCATGAGAATAAATATATAACAACCATTCAACCTTCTTCACTCAAAAGTTCACTTTTATATTCAAGAAATTTTAACTTACCAGAGGAATACTTTGTACAAAAGTCATTTGCTTGGCCACCTCTGGTCTATTCGTGTTTCCATGACTGTGTTTCAGTTTGAAGGGTGAGATATGGCAATGAATTTATAGGGTACAGAGGAATAACACCTGAGTCCTCAGGAATGGCAACTCATGGGGGGTATCATGAATGAAACAGTATACTCTATTATATCCATGGTGCTGCTCATATGTATAGGTGATGGTTACCACTTTCCATCAGTTTGTGTGCCATTCCAAGTAGCATAACAAAAAACTTATGACAAATAATTTTTAGTATATTTTGTTTACAGGCATTGTACATGCAGGATTATATGGAGGCTTATAATCATCAGAGTGCCTGTGTCGCATCAGTTGTACGGCTTCTTCAGTCACAAAAAGAAGAAAATTGGAGTCTCCCACTTATGTATACTGTATGTTTAGATCTGAGGCTTGTTGCACAGAAGGTGGAAGCATGTAATCGTAAGTTATTCAGGTATATTACATGTAATTTACAAGTGCAATAAAGAATATAATATATTACTAAGAGAAATAATATGTATTCTAAATTACATGTTACAATCACATAACTGCTGTTATATATAAAAATGTATGTCTAATACAATTAGCTATATCAGTGTTTTGACTCTTTTTGGGAAAAAAATATAATTTAAATAAATGCAACTGTTCTTTATAGTTTTTAGTTTTGGGCAAAAATGGGCATTATCCTAATAACATATCTTTTCAGAATATTGCTAACTTAACTCAGAATGAGGAGTTCCAGATTTGCTAGCTGTCAATTTGTAACTTTGATATAATAAATATTTCATTATCATATTGAATCAGGATATTGTTTTGTTTCAGCACAGAGCAATGGAAAAATCATGGAGAAAGCAGCTGAAAGTTTACTTGCATGCTTCAGAGTGTGTGCTGCAGATAATCGATCATCTGACTATGAAACAAAAAGGCTTGGAATGTTGAACCTTGTTAACCAACTGCTAAAAGTTTATTTTCGTATAAACAAATTACATTTATGTAAACCATTGATTCGTGCAATAGACTCTTCACCATTTAAAGAACAGTTCCCTTTAGCTCAACAAATAACATATAGATATTTTGTCGGTCGCAAAGCCATGTTCGATTCGGACTACCGCGCTGCAGATGAATACCTATCTTTTGCGTTTCAAAATTGTCATCGAAAGAGTAATAAGAATAAAAGACTGATACTAACATATCTAGTCCCTGTGAAAATGCTTCTTGGTTTCATGCCTGCAAAGCATTTACTCCAGAAATATGATCTGCTTCAGTTCTGGGACCTAGTTTCTGCCGTCAAGAATGGAGACTTGAGAGGTATTGACAGAGTGATGGAGGAACATGAAAGCTTCTTTATTCAAGCAGGGATCTATTTGATGGTGGAGAAATTAAAAATTACAGCTTACAGGAACTTGTTTAGAAAAGTGTATTTAGCTGAAAACACACATCAGATAGATATTGCGAGTTTTCAAGCGGCACTTCAGTTGATGGGACAGGATGATGTGGACTCCGATGAGACGCAGTGCATTGTCGCCAATTTAATTTATGATGGCAAAATAAAAGGTTATATCTCATACCAACACAAGAAGGTAGTTGTTAGCAAACAAAATGCATTTCCACCTCTTTCAAGTTTATATTAATTACTTGATACTTCTAATTATAAGAATTAATTATTGTATTTAATTAAGAATAAATTCTTTTACAATTCATTCTTGGTGTTGTAAATTCTTCACTGAACTTTAAGTATAGTGTACAGAGTAAATTGTAGTAGGTATACCGAATTCAAACAGGTTAATAGCAATCACGAGGATACATTTTACCGAATTATAAAAATTAATTTGCTGTATCTAGGAATCAATTCTTTTACAATTCATTTTTGGTATAGTAAAATATTATAGAATTTCATTTCAAGTGAGTTCACTATACAGAGTTTTTTTGTAATAGTTGATAATAGAATTGCTACCCCTCCCGCGCTAACGGTATACGCAGGCAAGCCACCAGTGAAGAATGTTAGGTATGAATGAAAAAGTAGATCAGTTAGCCCATCGTGATAAATACACCTGGAATTTAGCACGATGATGGTCCTGACAAGGTATATACTAACAATGTAACTGGCAGTCTTCATTACTAATAATCCCTTCCCCCCTTACTATGCAGAATTTGTTGTAGTAGGTATACTTACCAAGTCGAAACCAAGTAATAGCATTCATGAGATTACACAACTTTCTCTAAGATGACGATTGTAGAAAGGTAGTTGAACCTACTTTCAAATAAATAACATGATTAAAAAAATATTCCCAAAGAGAGTTTACGTCAGGCAGGCGACCGGACGTAAAACTATATGCCAAATCTTTTTATAATATAGATAAAAAAACATATTACGCCAACTCCAAATAATAATTGGGGTAAGGGTGGGAAGACGATGATTAAAAAATGAAACACCAATGACATGAAAACTTTTTTATTAAATCCACAATATATTTCAAAGAATAATATAAATATAATAAATTTTGCACATCACTAACATAGCATTATTCCCAACAATGCCGAATACAATGTTTTTTTGAGTCTTACGATTAAGATATTTGTGACTCTAATAGAATGACACGGTTCTAATCTATTTATACAGTATGTCCTTATAAAATATACATGTATCTAACATTGGTATTAATTTAAAGTCGAAACAGGTAATGAAGTGAGATGCAATTTTGTGCTGCGTGTTTTTGATAAAAAACATACTACAGTAAATTTATTTTCTAGCTACTAGTACTTTTTCAAAATGACAATTTGTATGAAGATCTTTTAAAGTACTTGATATTGTAATGATATAAATGTGTAATTAGTCGTGGGATATGTTAATTTAACGAAAATATAATGATATGGCTCAGAAATCTCTCTCCTGATAGTATTTAATACAATCTGGATTTATTTATATAATAAAAAATATATTTATTTCTTATGGAAGACATTTCTAAAATAAAAATTATATTTGTTAATATTACAATATTATTTACAATTTTAATATGGTAAAGACTACTAAAATTTGTAAAGTCCTATTTTAATAAACCTTTGACATTTATAATAAAAGGTACCATTAGGAGATATTCTTCTACCTAGTAGCTAGTAGCTGTACCTAGTACAACTAAGAGCATAATTACTAAGTGCGGGTTTACATTGAGACAGCTGGCTACACCAAACCTGAGATAAAAGTGTTAATTCACTACTCCCTTTGTATAAATTAAGACTCGATAGTGTTATACTGTGGCAGAAAATAGTATCAGGTTAGTAAAGAGGTTTCGTGCCGTATACTTCTAGCATAGAATGGGCCACCCTTCCTTTCCCGTAGGTGTCGTAAGAGGCGACTAAGAGAACTTTATGGTCGAGGGATTGGCTGCAGCGTCCCTCTTAAAACATCACCAAAACCTAACTGCGATTGCCAACCTGCCTGCCTAGCGTGACAACTACCAGCAAAACCCCCTCTTATGGGGGAGATCTATGTTTAGTAGTGGACAGTTAACGTCTGATATCACGAAGATGATGAATGAGGTTCCAGGAGAGGGGTGAGACTGTCAGTAACGGGGAACAATAGCCATATTTTTAGCAATAAATAAATAGGTCAATCTCGGTGCATTCTTGAAAGCATCATGGTTACGTCCTGATGAACTGACCATTATAGGCAAATTGACCTGGCTTTATCCTCACCTATTAGACTATCATCCCTTTTTGGTACATCGCCAGTGTAAACCAATAGCAAAGGAAGAGTTTCTATTCTATTTTCATTCATTAAAAATTAGTACTAAGGTGTTCTTTTTCTATCATGAAGGTGGCAAACAAGCATACAGCCCGTTTGATAATAAACGGCCATTGTAACCTATGAATGGCTGCAATATTAGAGATGACACGTGTATATTACCGACCCTGAAGAAACCTTAATACACCACATAAAGAACCCCCATACTGTAGTCTCTAAGGAAAACCTTGGTGGGGAGCTCATTTCACAGCCCGAGCGTTCCCAGGAAGAAACTCTTCTGAAACTGCACTGTATGCGACCATACCATTTACATTCTAGCGTGTGAGGATGGATTCCCAGTTGACGCCGAGCGATACTATGATAACAGGTAGGTGTGGGTGATAGTGGTGGTATGTCTTGCTCGAGTTAGTAACTTGCCCAGTATAAACCTGCACTATATTGATCGATGCGATGGGACCTCCCCTTATAAATTATTTAAATAATAGCATTACTGATTTTACAGTAACAGCACATAATTGCACTACACTATTCTTTTTTTTTTGTGGTAGAAAAATATTGAGAAATATTTGACTAGCTATTAATTTATAATTATATTCTATATAATATATTCTATACTAATTACTTACTGATTAACACAATTCATCTACGTTTGGAACAGAAAATCTAAACGTGAATACAGTTCTACCACGGAAATAATTTTAGGAGCAGTTGAGATTTTTTTTTATTTTCGACATTATTTAAAATATTGACATAAAAAAAAAGATAAATTATTAAATTTGCACTCTATTATACCTCTCTGCTTCGTGAAGGATTTTTATTTCTGTACTAATTTTAATTAATTTATGAAGTCATAGTTTTTTTCCTTTCACATAAAACTTATAAACGGACAATATCTTTAATATTTTGATATATAGGTAATTGGGTCTCTAAAATTATTATTTTATTGTGTGTTTTAAATTTATATATTTAATTTTTCTATGTGGTAACATAACAAAAATACGACAAAGTTCTTTAATTTTTTATAACTATAATGTCGTAAAAGCAACTAGGAGAACAAAGCATGATATATCCGTACAAGAAAAGGAAATTTAAAATAACATAAAATAATATAGTTTATAGAACCGCAATTAAAATACATTATTCATATCTGTGTATATAAATATTCCTAGCTTTATCCTGCGACTTCCCCTGTAGTCGTAATGTTAAATAGCCTATAACATTCCTTAATAATCAATAATATAATCAAGCAAAAAAAAACAGACTGATAGTTCTAGAGTTTAATGCGTTCATACAAACAAGTCCTTCTGCTTTACTATATTATTTTAAATGTAATTAAAAAAGATAGAAGAATTATATTCGTGGTAACACTGTATTGTTTACATGCAAAGCTACTTTCCACATAATAATCTAAGTTAAATTTATATAAGTAATAATTATAAACTCTTATATTAGCTGCATTTGCAATAAGTCTTTTAGGGCGTACACAATGTTTATATATTTGTTTAGAAGCTATTTACAAAATCATAAAACATGCAAATGAATATTAATCGATATACCAAGTACTACACGATTACACGTTTGGGTACTGTAAGTGTTTGAGCATATTTCATCATCAATAGAACCTTCCAGAAATGAAGATAAGTAATCCGATTTAATAAACCTGATAAATTTATTATTACTTATAGCTTTTACCCACGACTTTGTCCGGATAAAACTTGGGTTCCATTCTCGGTCGGTTCAAGTAAAAGTCGAAATTTTGTTATTTTACGACAGGTATTTTATAAGGGTCGTGTAACCTATAACACACTTTCAATCGACAAATCTAACGATATCCTATTTATAATAGTCAGTAAAACTAGGCATTGACCAAAAGATCCAAACATACATACATACATACATTTTTATACATCTAAAACATTACTATTCATTCTTTCTTCGGAAATTAGGTAATAAGAAGTTTCTTCTTGCTTATCTACCTAGATTGAATCTGGTTGTTTATTATTGATGAAACATATTCAAATTCAAAATAAAAAAAAGAAGGTACAAAGCGTACAAAATAAATAACTACAAGGAATTTAGAAATTCCACGCTTAAAATTAAAATGGCATTTTTATATTACGATATTTTAATAACACCTATTCAAAAGTAACACTAAATGTAATATTTAATATGTTACGAAAAAAAAGTAAATACTAAAGTAACTGACTTTTGGGTACTTAGAAGTTCTAAAAATATACTACATGGATAAGGGAAGGTATGGATAAGGGGTATTTATATAAAACGGAAAATAGAGAGCAATTTTAGAATGAAAAAAAAAAAGAAAATATGAAAATTAGGCTATTATACCTAAATTAAAATTCTGTCATACTTTACTTCCCTTGCTTTGCTAATATTCTTGTATACCATAGAAAAGGTATACACGCACTACCCTCAGCGCTATTCACACAGTTCCGTTGGTGATTTTTCAATGTCGGTCGACTGACGAGCCGTCCATTATCCGTGTTCATATATCAGGAAAATAGACTTCAGTACAGAAACCTACTTCCGCGTTTTAGGATGCACACATTACGATGTCCTATTTTACTCATAATACAAAAGTATTTAGCAATTAAATATTGTAAATATGATTTTCTGTATACATTTTAAACATAAATTTTTAGTTATATAATTTATAAAGATTAATGTGACAAAATATGGCATGTTAAATCGTGTGTTAATTGTGACTTGTTCTCAATTTAAATCTGATAACATACTACACGTACATTACAGCATGTTTTGGGATATTGAGTATTCGAATACGTCTTACATAAAATTATGCAAATAGTGCAAAGCAAACAGTACTTAAGCAATTAATGCTCGTCCCTGACGAGTACTGACGGATTCTAAACGCGGAGCTGTGTGAACGAAACTTTATTCATAAAAACGTCAAATATGTAACACATATAATATTATTTAGCCAGTTTATATAACAGATGGAAACTTGACACTGGCAACATTATTAGATATTAAATACCACATTAAAAAGTGTTTCGCCTCCTTTCAAGCTCGAAAAAGTGATTTAACACCGATACGATAAATACACTTAGTTAAATAGTTATATTCTAGGATTTACGTTTTTATGAATGCGGATAGTCACTAATCCCACATGCATTTCTCTCTCCCTATCCTATTAAAAATAAAAGAAAAATCGATCCTTTATTTGAAATCGTTATTTCCATTATAATCTTTGATACATCGATCTTTATCAAATCCACGCTTGGTATTATGGGTGTCACAGTATAATCTGGTATTTGTGGGTATGCATATCTTCATGTGACTGTATTGTATCAGTTCTCATTATACTGTATAAATTATAAATAAAATCCTGACAGAGTTATGGGATAAAGACTGTTGGGTTTATATTTTGTTCGCACGACTAGGTAATTCGTATATTTTAAATTTTAACTCATGGTAAATGGCAACACTAACAAACTCATTACAGCTTTAATTAACTTTAGAAACAAGAAAAACAACTTGTTATAAGCAATAAGGTTGCATAAACTGTTTAAAATATTTTTTTAATTGATTATAGTCAATAATATCAACATATTTCCCTAATAGTTGGGTATTATTTTTATCTTCAATACTCACGTGAAAAGATAACGTGAATAAAAAGTTAAGAGTGTTCATAACGTAGTGTAGTTACGTCGTAATTATCTGTCAATTTTTAAAAACAATTGAACATTTTTCAATGTTTCTAAATTGATTATTTAAACTAAAACATTAGTCGTGCAATAATATTCTTATTGAGCTGTCACCGAAAACTTAGATTTTGATGGCAAAAATTTATTTCAAAAATCCAAATGAAAATATACAAAGGTTTTAATGGTAGTAATATGTAACATAATTTATAGTTAATTGTTTAGTTCGCTAACAAAGTAAAGCAAAAATGTAAATCTTTGAAAATTGACAGATAATTGACACTTGTTTTGTTATCAATGCTACAAACCATTTAGTCGTGCGAACTGATACCTCTGGGTTACAGCTTAGTTCCTTTCAGAGAAAGACATTTTGTGCATTGGCCCTTTCAGCAGTTCGTCTTTGTATGCAGCGAGGATAGCTCGTGACATGCTCGGTTCTGATGCACTTGCTTCGAGGAATTGGCGCATTAGTCTGAAAATAAAAAAAAATACTAGTAAGATGTATGACTTTTTTTTATTGCCTTCAGAATTTAAATTTATGAAGTACCACCACGACTCGCTCGGTTATGCATGATTTTTTTTTAATTAAATACAATCCATTTTACTTGCTGATTTTGAAGCTTTATATAGGTGAAAAAAAATTATAGTTTGCAGTATTATATAAAAAAAATAAAAAATTAAAGTAACGAAAAAAAGATTAACACAGAACTTGAGAAATAATTTTGAATTGAGAATACTTTTTATATACCACAAAGATAACATACAAATATACAGCCCGACTTATGGTAAACAGTTATTGTAGCCTATAGATTCTTGCAACATCAGAGGTGACACATGCGCGTTGCCGACATTAAAAAAATCTTAAACGCCTATAAATAAATTTCAAATTTACCTGTTAGCGGGATTCACACCAAGTCCCTCACGAGCTTGCAGCAATTCGGGGTGGTCGCCAATTGTATCGGTAAGAGCAGCAATCATAACGTCTGTAAAAATAATAAATAACGTTTTGTTAACCGATTTCCAATAGAAAGAGTTGACTCGAGTCAAAATTTCTCAATTCGTGTGGTTTTTGTTGTGTCCAATCTTAAATCTTTGACCATTAAAACCACTGTTTTCTTTGCAAATCAAGTCTTCACTCGTTGATGAATAGAATCTATCTACATCTATATAGGTAGGGATTTGTAGAAACACTACCTTACTTATGGGCAATGCTATTCGATGACACTAGACTATAGATTTAATTTATACAAACATCTTAGAATATCAATGCGATAAAGAAAATGAAAATCCTTTATGTTGTAAATCTATTTATAATATACTTCTCTCCAATATATTGATGTCAATATGTATCATAAATGATACTAGGCACTTTATTTATTTTTTTCAATTCAATAAACAATGGTTGCTTAGATATTATACAATTTCTACGAAGTGACGCGAGCCTGTTTGTAACGATTCCAACTTACAAATGAAGTTATCATGTACCTACTTTATTGTACAAATCTTTCATTTGTAGTTATTTCGAGAAAATTACTGTTAACTAATTAGTTTCTATGTATAGAAAGTTCGGAGAGATTAATAGCGCTTCTTGAACCTGACGTGAATAATCAAAGACGGATTATCGCGACGCGACTTGCATAATAAGTGAAGCACATAATTTACTGCTATAAACAAACATGACAGTGTAAATTTTGCATTTTACATAGGTATATAAATACCTTGATAAATACATATAATGAGCGACTAGTTGATAGAACACATTGTAATTTAAATTTAGAAGATCTATTGACTAGATTATCAATGAAATTAAGAAAAATTAAGCTTTTTTTATTACAGCATGACATATGACTACATTATTCTGAGCAAACACAGAGGCAATATGGTCCATAAATACGATCTACTGAAAAGTGAATGATTTATTCTCAACGGTTGACGACACTATGCTGGCTCACTAAGCGCTTTTTATGCTTCGATTGAAAGATCCGAGGTTAAACGATGAAGGAAACACGTTGGGTTCCAAAAACAATGAAATACAATAACATAAAAATTGTGTGCATTTTTAAACTAATAAAATTTCAAAATCAATGACTGACAAAAAAACTATTTTTGGCGATCAGAAATCGCTTACGTTTAAGAGTATTGAGTGCTATACCTACCTAAACTTTTTCGAGTTTACCCAAACTTTATTTACGCATTTGAATTCATTCTGTATACTATTTTACTACAGAAACAAATATCGAGGTAATTCAGCACTCACCAAGTACTTTCTTCTCAATGGTGCGTGACAGTTGTCCCCTCTCAGCCTCTAGTTCCAGGAAAGCCATGAATCGTTGTGTGGCCGCGCGAGCCGATGCCGGGTCTCGAGATAGCGACTGGGAGAACATCATCTGTGAACAACCATTTATCATGTTATACAACTTCTAAAACAAGATGCAGATGCATTGCAAGGCGAATGATAAACGTAAGAAAATGAGAGAATAACCAGTAGTACCTACTGCAATTACCTTCTATCTACTTATGTAGGTATTCTACTTAGTTAATGTCTGCTTTTTGTAACTAACCATTCATGACTATAGATCCATCTATTTTAATAACAAGTCTTTAGAGGTGGAGAGAACTAAGCGCTATAGGCCGTAAATCTTACATCTCTTCCTTCTTCTATTTATTTAATAGGCTAACAAAATAACAAAAAAATACATTGGTTTAATTAGCTTTGGTTTAAATAGCTTGGTTTCATTGGTTTAAGATGTTTCAAATTATTTGAAACATCTTAAACCAATGAAACCATGCTAAAGAAGTCTTTATATTGATGTCTTCTCTATTACTTCTGGTAACTAAACTAAACCTACTTTGTCATTAAGTACTTAGAAGAGAAGAAGTAGTAACTTCCTTACGTATTGTTGCTATATCGCGGGTTTATAATATAAATGAAATTACTAAATTCGATTAGTTAGTTTGTTTGCTACTGTAATATCTTTACATGCATATCTGTTATCCTTGTCTCCAATTAGTGTAGACAGAAATAAACAAGCTTGTTTGCTATTCTAAGTTGTATAAAAAAACGAACACCAAATGCTTCGATTCTAATAGACTTCTTTCGCTTCCTCCGCATTAATTAATTTTTATACACGCTCGCCAATTACAGGTACTTTTTATTTGGCCCTTCTTTAGTTTTGTCTTCGTCTCTTATTTGGTCACCACACGTCTGTCTAGGGCTTCTTCTTTCATTACTCATTCATTCATCTTTCATATTTTTGTTTTATAAAAAAAAGCCTACCTTAGCAAGCTGATAAATAATTTCTTCGAGCGTATACTCAGTGTACAGTGTATCAGCTGCTTTCAATTTATCCATCATTTCTTCATACTCTTCTTCACTGATGATAGGGCCGTCTCGATCGTAATCTGATGTACCTGAAATATATTTATTTATTCATTAATTTAAATTTATTATTTTCCAAATTCGGTTATCATCCCACTGTTGTAGATATATATATTTTTATTCTTATTAGTGCAAAGTATAATATCCAGTGAAAACAAGATGTGAATAATGTGAAACTAACATAAATAAAATCTTTGTGACTTTTGGCCTCGTCAATCAATCGAAGTAAAATTCAAATATATCTTTTTTTTAATACGATATAAATTAAGTGTATATATTTTAAAATCTATAAACTCATTACCTTAAGGTAAGGCTTAAGTACAAAGAGGTAATTTCTATAAAAACCCCTAAAAACCCCAATTAAATATCTATATATAAATGCAACATTATACGAGTACAGTGGAATAGTTTTTATTTAATTTTCTATATTATCACTTAATTGATATCATCAACAAAAACTAAATAAAGTAAATAGATTTATAACGACTCGTATTACCAAAAATAATGAAAGCAAATAATCACTCGGTGATTAGTGATAATTACTGTTTATTCTCCACGAGTTTGTATATGTTCGTAGTTTTTTTTTCCTTGTCGAACTTGTGGTCGTTATGGCTTTTTGTTGTTATTAAAAAGCGATGTAAAAGTCTATTAAATTAACATATTCAGCTTGCCTATTCCTTTCACTTTGTATCTAAATATATGTGTATTTTTATTTTCTCATACTCGTGGCTAAGATATATAATAGTACTTAATTACTTGTATCAGCTTTAGCGTATTAACTTCAAGGTTGTTCGATATACTTTTTTTTTTATTTTTAATTTACAAAATTTCTATTGTAATAGCATGGGTGGATTCTTAGTTTTACATAGCGCTAATGATTTTAATGTCACCCAATATGAAACGAGTTTGGGTTTGTTGGAAGAGAACTCTTTTAGATTTAAGCTCGTCTTTGTACATATGCTTATCTCTGTCATATTTTTTTTTATATATATATTACCAGTGTGTAAAATAAAGTATAAATAAATAAATATTAAAAAGCACTTACTTATAATATTCGTCTGCAACATTGGATCATACGCCCTCTTCACAGGATCCGGCCGCAACTCCGACGTGATTGGAAGTGCTGGTATAGGAGCGAGATTGTTGCTAAGCTCCCAATTTTTGTTCGCGATAGTCCTTATGATGTCGGGACTGTTACCGAAGGGGAATGACTGCAGTGTCACCGGATTTCGGTACTGGTATTCCTGAAAATTTATTGCTGGTAAAATATGTGTTTTTATATCACTACGAATAGTGAATTAGATGATTACCATAAGTAAATCTGATAGACGGGTCATAATTCACTCCACATACAGTTTTAGATTTCATTTGCATTAAATTGTATTCTTTACTTTACGTGTAACTTTTTGGTCCTTTTAAGATTTTTATACCACTAAGGTAGCAAACAAGCATACGGTCCACCTGATAGGAAGGGGTTACGGCAACCTATGAACGCCTGCAATACTACAAGCATTACGCGCACATTGCCGACCCTGAAGAAAACTCTTTATCCCTTTTTTAAAGAACCCTATGCTATAGTCTCTTGGAAAAACTTCGACAAGGAGCTCATTCCATAACCTGAGCGATTGTTTAGTTCTAATAGTAGTGCCACACAGGCTAGGAAACCTTATGAGCAACCAGGCAATGAACATCTGGGGGTACAACTCAGAATATCTAGACCAGTGGCAATCCAGAAAAGTTCATATCTTAAATTGATCCGACTGGGAATCGAACCCGGAGCCTCATTCATACAATAATATATGAATGAGGTAATCAAATAGCCTTAAAGGAGAGATAAATACTACATAGAAATGTGTAGGAAAATCTTTAGAAAACAAAATTGGTTAGTATAGCGATGACAGATCAGTTGGACGATGCTTAACTGCAGTACGGAGATCCTAAGAACGAATCTCAACCTGATGATTGATTGATGAAATGATTGTCATTCACTTTAGGTTTCAGAGAACACGCAGAACTGTCGTCTGGTAAGTCATGTTAGAGGCCTTTGTATACGAGTATAACGAAGGTGGCCTGAAAACACCAGAGGGCGCCACACTTACACAGTATATAGCCGGTTACTCCCCCTATTAAGGGTTTTGCCAGTAGTTTCCATTGGCAGCATCCTGCTTGACAGGCAGGTTGGCAACTGCAGATAGGTTTTGGTAATATTTTAAGAGGGATGTTATTGCTCATTTCTCGATCTTTAAGTTTCCTTAATCGCTTTTACAGTAACCACGGAAAAAAACAGGGTGGCCTATTCTGCGTCGGGACCACGCAGTAATCAGTAACAGTAGTATGGTAAAAAAGTCTACAAACCAAAATAAGGTAGGTAAGTACAGATGGTATTTCCAAAAGGTATTTCTAGAGAAGTTTGCTATTATAATTTATAGCACCTGTACTGCTCAGTTTGCTCCCACTTATCAAGCTATTTCTCTGCTCAATTCTCTGATTGCTCAGCAGCCAGATATTGACATATTTAATGTCAAAATAAATATATTTTTAAAATGTTGTACAAAATTTGTAAGTTTGTAAAATAAACCTATAGCTCACTACACGTTTTGGGAAACTGTAAGTGTGGTGAGTAATTTTCAAATAAATAAATAGCGTTTGCAACATCAAAAAAGGCATTTTTTTTTTGCATTTAAGTATCGTATTTATTATTATGACTACCAGTAGAACATAGGTAGTAAAAATAAAATTACCATAAGAACATTATTATTAGCTATTTCTCTACTGAGTAATAACTTCCACGTTTTACGAGTGAATTAATTACTCTATCAGAAGGGTTTATTCTACACACACATAAAAAATCTGTTAAGAGTGTTCATACCTCTCTCAGTTGTATAAAAAAATTATAAATTTATATTGTTTCATAATTAACATTTTAATTCGCTATCAAAGTACTTTTTAATAAATCAAATAACAACAAGAAATATTAAAAATTATGAAACTTTTTGAAAATTGACGCATAATTGCGACATTATCACACTTCGTCAAGCTAAAATTGTAAACCCTTCTAAAGTACGTGATGTATTGCCGTACTCGTTTCCAGAATATTCCATGCGATAAATTACATATTACAATTATAAATACAAAGCTCCATTGTTTCTGTGTAATTATACAATAATCTCACTCCGGGTAACATAATTGAGTTACATAAAGTTACTAAAGGAAAATATGAAATGTAATTTCCTATGCAATTTGTTTATAATATCTATAAGTATAGTCATCATATATTTTTTTTGCGCCCTGACCGGACATTAAGTTCTAGTTTAGAATTCCAGTGTAATTGTTAATGCAAGATTTTTTTGTTTTTCCTTTCCATCCACTATGTTCTATCTCATACACTATTCCACTTTTATTCATCATCTTTTTCTCTGCGTGATTAATTGATTTTATTTTCTTTATCTATTTTGGATTCTTGTGGATTTAGCTCTTATTTTATATTTCTTTGGACAATACTGTACCTATTAATTTTGTTTGAACGTCATTACCTCAACTGGCGTTTATGTTCCAACACTATTTATTATACAATACTATTTATCCACCAATCAGTGTCCACCTCTAGTGATGTCCCATATACACTAGTGATGTGATCTTACAACAAACACTTCCCACCCCACAGTCTGTGATTGTGAGTTCGGATTGTTGGCATAGTTTTTACTCTACGTTGTCATCATATTAGCCATTGTTCACTACTGAATATATTACCCTTATATAATATACCCTATTGAGAGTTTTTGCCAGTAGTTGTCACGCTAGGCAGGCGGATTGACAACCGCTTCTAAGTCAAAAGTCTACTTTGGTAATGTTTAAAGAGAGATGCTGCTGCCCATTCCTTGACCATTAAGTTCCCTTAGTCGCCTCTTACTACATCCACGGGAAAAGAACGGATTGCCCATTCTATACCGGGACCAACACTACGAATACATTTAAAAACAAAAGTTAAGACATGAACATATACTACTAAATAAAAATTCTTGTAGTTTAGTACGACTCTACTCGTTTATAGCATTTTGTTTCATCAAAAGCTTAAAGCTTTGAGATATGTGTTGACCTAAAGAACCTTTGCGTATTCTCAATACGCAAATAGTATCAATCAGTAACTAGACAGGCCTTTCTTCGTATCATACTGGAATCTTATGTAACCTACCTACCCGCCTACAATTTAATTTCACGACACTCTAAGACACATTACTGATTGACAGACAATACTCAGTCTAAACCTTACTTATACTTGGAAGCATGAAATTAAATTATGTACCAAATTTTCATAAAATTCTATTCGCCTAATATTATAAATACAATATTTTATATGTAACTTACAAGTGCAATAAAGAATATATATATATATATATATATATATATATATTGGTACTCGTATATGGTGGTAGGTTATATGGTAACACATGACACTTTATATACTGCTTTACGTGGACAAAGACTTCGAAAACAGCTAGTAAAGATTTTGAAAACCACCAAGAAACTAGGGATGAGAATTTGTTAAGTTCAAATTCAAATCATCTTAATTCAATTAAGAATTTGCCAATAAGAAATGTTATTGGGTACACGAAGACCATAAAGCAAGCGAATGTCGTTCATAAATCGCAACTAACTCGATACACGCCGCACTCGGAAACGGATTTAATCAACGAATAGAATATGGCCAATAAAAAGAATAGTTAATTCACTTGACAGGGTTGTCAAATGTCTTCTTCAAAAAATTTTTATATAAAACGTGTGGTAATTGAGAAACAATCGAAATTAAATATGGTTGATTTCTCATTTTTGATTATAATAATCTATTATATACAAATTTGTAATTAACTAACTTTTTCTCGCGACTTAATCCAAGCGATAGGAATATGTTCACTGGTTGAGATTGAAAAGTAAACTATGTTCTTCTGTATACATATACTTGTATACCAAATTTCATAGTGATTGATTAAGCTTCCAAGGAAATACAAACAAACTCACTTTCACATTTACACAATCGAGCGAACAAAGCTCAGTTTTCAAAATAAATCTCCACTTTAAACGATTAATTAAGTCTTTAAGGTACCAAGAAGTTATATTCCTTTCATTTTTAGATAGAAGTACACAGAGTAGGTTTATGTAGAAATTGTCCCTCCTCCTTCCGGTAAATTTCATTTTCATAATAAGGAGGAAACAAAGAATAATAGGCAACCCTAACGCTGCTCGTACTTGTTGTGCGTCTATTTTTATTTTTATGCGTATTGGCTCATAAACAGAAATTAAGCTCTTAACACAAGACATGTGATGTTAACAGTTAATAACTATAAAAATGCTACCATTTTTATCACCCTTTCTCTCTCTCAAATTTAATTTTGATCTAGATAAGGAGAACCAATATAATCCTAATTATTTTACATTTGATTAAGGTATAAGTAATTAATTCAATTTATAAAGAACTACCGATAACCCATGGCTTTGCACGCATACGTGAAATTATAAAGTCCTTATTTTAAATACTTTGGTTTATTTGTATATTAAGATGAGATACTAAATTTCATTCAGCTATTAAAGATGATTGAGTAACAAAGATTCAAACATTTTTACCAAAGAAAAGCTTTGATGAAAAGGGACAAAAAATTATGTGAGGGTAGTAAAGGTAATAAATGCAATAGAAGCTAAAACAATATTTTTTTAGATATTTTGTCTGTCTGTGTGTTTGTTCTATTATTATTGCTGGATTGTTATCGACATTTTTCAGTACTAGAAATTATTAGACATCTTAAATTGACTCTTAAGTTTTGGTACTAGCCGGTGCGATATCTTCTGTACAAAATTGACCTAAGTAGATATGCTTGGGTAGATTTTGGTAAAGGGATAGAGATCTATCCTTTTCCTGTTTCTGTCACTATGCAGCTGTGCTTCCTTGATTCTGTTTAGGTTTGAAGAGTGGGATATGGTACTGAAATTACTTATAAGTGTACAGAGGCGTAACATCTCAGTTCTCATGAAACAGCATGAGATATTAGGCATCATAGCATATTTTGTTTTTATATCTGTAATGTTGTTATATATGTATAGGCAACGATTACCACTTTTCATCGAATGAACCGTTAACTTCTTTGGCTTTCCAAATTTCATAAAAAACCTTAATAAATTTTGCACCTTCACAACATTAGTAAGATGTCAAACTTGTCATCACCGAGTTAGTAAGTTCTTTCGTTAAAACGCCAATACCGAAATGCAAATAGTTGGACTCATTCCACGAGACATTTCTCAGAACTTCCACGCTATAAGCTTGTTCTCAAAGCTACGACGCTGTACATAAATACCAACACCTGTAATCTGAAACTTTAACAATCAAACTTTTTCGTCGAGTTTAAGTTAATAAACTCAATGTTCATTGCCAACTGTTTTCCTAGCAGTTTTAAAAGAAATATTATCATTTGGAAGCTGAGAAACTTTTTCTATTTCCAATCCTAGTACCTAGATACTTTGACGAGATGTATATAACGAAGGTCTAACGAGCCAAAATTCAGAGACAATATTTATGTAACTGAACAGCCTTCAAAGAACATAGGTTGGATTCCTTTATTAAATGTTGAATTTGTAACAATATTTGCATGTTTAGAAGTTTGAGGCAATGTAAGATCTGTATCTTGAGACCCAAGTTATAATGAGCCAGTTGAAACATTGTTAAAACAAATTGTTTTCAATCAATAAATTCTCATTATTTGGTATAGCTGTTGTGTTATATACGTGTGAATTGGGTGAAAGGTATTATATGTAAATAAAACATGTTATACCTATATCTTAACGTCACAGATTACATGCTACTTTTGGTATCGGCGATCAGCTTAATTTAGTTGCTTACGTAAGTCGATTGCAGAATACTCAATCTATACACATTACACGCACGATTAAAGACATTAAGTAGCTAAATCGCGATATAGTACAGTACATTACCAAAATGTCTAATGGTGATTATGAGGCACTATTTCTTAAAACTTATCTCTTAACCAAATATTTTAATTTGATAAATAATTTATCGAAAATACCGTTTTATAAATCATCATAAATTAAAATTATTTCAGAAATAAGTTCTTAAAAATTCAGAATCGACCCCATTATCATAGATGGTACTGATCTATTTATTTAAATTTCTCATTAATATAAACATGTATGTGTTCTACAAAAAAAAACTACTATAATTGTAACAAAACTAATTCTTTTGAATTAAAAATTAAACATCTGAACAGATTGTAAAAAATTATAAGTATATCCTTGCAAATAAAAAAAAAATGTACCAAATCGATTTACAACCGACAGAGTTATGAGGTAACAAACATACTATATATAGCCGAATCTAGATATGCTTTCTTTTTTAAATCAATTGAAAATAAAAATCATATTTAGAATGTATAGAAGAAAATTTTAATATTTAGTTGATTTCGTAATTTTTTATCGTTAGTATTTTGTAATTAAAAATAGCATTAAATTGGTTATTGCAATCGTTCTGAAGCAAAATCGTATTTTTGTATTCAAAATAATATTGAAATGTTAGCGTAAAATAACGTGATGAGACCATTTGACTGCGCCATATAATCTCGTAGGTATATTGGAATAGAAGAGGTATAAATATTTCTTTGTGAAATTTTTCCTTTACGGTTTAAGAATAATAGAAAAACGTTTATGGAATTTTGGTTAAATTCTTGGCACATAAAACTATTTATTTATTTATTTGTAAACGACATAAATATATTTTTCTTTTAAAATATTGTATCATAGATGTATTTGCAATTCAGAATTTTCCCTCTTTAGAATTTTAGGTCAGTACATAAAATTTTACCTAGTCTTCGTACAATCATAGTAAATTTTAAGCTTTCCCAGTTTTACACGTTATTAAAAGATAGTCGCTATTATTTTTTGTAAATTTATAGAAATCAAAATTTATAAGTTAGCATTCACTTTGTAGTTTTGAGTAAAAAACTAATATTCAGTCACCTTCATAATTCTATTTCAGTGCAGTGCATTTGTAAACTATAAAATGTAAAAATATATGTGTATTTGATGGAGAGATGAGAAGAGTTTAAAGCAACAATTTATTTTCGTACTAATTTTTACCCGTGATATCTCCCTTATGAATTGAATAAATTGATTGGCAGGTATAAATAATACCTAGTTATATTTACCTACCTATATTTTTCTCCATTCAAAACTACGTGACAATTGGTTGAACAGGCAAGACGCAAAAGCCAGATCTATTTTTTTCTTATCATTATAAAAAGAGTCCTATCTCTCAAGTCGGACCAAACAATATACGAGTACATTTTTAAAATTTCATTATAGTCAGTTGAGTGGTTTGATGATTCATCATTATCATCATCATCATCATATCAGATTTTAACTGTCCACTGCTGAACATAAGCCTTCCCCTAGGGGGATATTGCCAGTAGTTACCACGCTTGGCAGGCGGATTGGCAACCGCATACCTCTTAGGACACCCATTTGAAAGGAAGGGTTTGGCCTATTCTATGCCGGAACCATGCGGAAACACAGTTTTGATGATTAGCTTAAACAAATATACAAATCATTTTTATATGTTATAATTAAGATTAGGTTCCAAGAAAAAAACCGACTTCAATTGTAGCAAAACTAATTTATTTTATTTCAAAACTAAATTATAGAATCAATTTTGATAAAATTTCTTTACATATTCTTTTAGATAAAAAAGAGGTAACAAACATAAAAAAAAATCAAATTAAGAACCTTTTTTTTAAATCGTTTGGGAAAAATCTGTCATACATACATATTAGATTATATCAAAACTACGTCTTTATGGACTTTAACTATTCCTTTATAAATAATAATAAAATTCATTATCAACTTTTATTCCAGCAGTTTTATAAAAGAAATCATAATTTGAAAGCGAAATATAACCCCGCTACGAAAGAGGAAGTCCCGACAAACTTTCAAACTCATAATCCATATAACGCTCTTTTACGTTGTACAAGTAGGTTAATCTCTACTTAGATACGCTTATATTGCAAATTACTGTGTATTCGACCTTTATGTTAAATTGCATTTCACTCAAATTGCGTACGAAGGCTACTGCCCTTTTATTGAATTACGGGTAGACGTCCTATAACGAAAGTAAGCTGGCAACTGCGTGCTCATATAAGTATATATTTATTACTACTAGTTAGTAACTACCAAATGTATTAGCTCCACTAATGCTTTATTCTCTAATTGTATCTCACGTGAATTAAGATAAAATTGTAGCGTAATTCCATCGTGTTACTGAGAAGACAGATGGAAAAGTATTGTTAATAATGGAAACTAACTGCCCCACTGCCCTTTTAGATTGACTTCGGCGCAGCTCCTTTTACAAACCGTCATGATTAATAGTTGTTAAATCCATCACGATGGACTAACTAAACTGCTTCATCCTCACCTATCATCCTCACTGGTGCCTCGTAAGTGAATACCGATAGCGCAGATGGGATCACTATTTCATTTTCGCCCATGAAAACAAACTTATAACACACTCAGTCCTTTTAAAAAAAAATGTGGGTTACAATCCCATAACATCGAAATATTAGATTTTTTTAAACTATTAATAAATTTAGAATTCCTAAATGGTAACGCATTAAAAAATATTTCATATTTAATTTATAAAGTATTAATTTCCAAAATTAGGCTCTTTCCAATCCATTCAGTTATTAATGGTTTCAATATGATTAATAAACAACCAGACATCTTTAAAATTAAACCAGAAGAAGACTTTGTACAAAAGTCGTTTGCTTGGGCACCTCTGTCCCATTCGTATTTCTACCGAATTTGCGTTTCTACAGTGAAGCAGTTGTGTTTACATAGCTATGTTTCAGTTTGAAGGGTGGAATATAGCAGTAAATTTACAGGGTACAGAGGCATAATACCTTAGTCCTCAGGAATGGCAACGCATGGAAGATATCATGAGCGAAACAGCATACTGTGTTATGTCCATGGTACTGTTAATGTCTATAGATGTCGGTTACCGCTTTTCATCAGGTGGGCCGTCAGTTTGTTTGCCTTGCTAACTTGTATAACAAAAAAACATAATAATTGTAACCATTTCGATATAGTTTTTCTGAATACTGAATTCCAAAATAAACTCAATTCAGTAATTTTAACGGAACAGAATATGCAAATAACTTCATAAATTTTTACATTTAGATTTAAATGATATTAATGGTACGATATACTTTAAGACCTAAATGTAATAAAATATGCGAAATTTAATAGATATTTAATGATAAATTAAATCAGTACTTATGATTCTTTAGCTTATTTAGAATATACTATCCGCTGTTATCAGTCGTTTATTTTTAACCGACTTCAAAAGAATGTTTTCAATACCGTTGTATTTTTTTATATTTGTTGATTTGGAAAATTGTTTTTTATATCGGAAAGGATATACTTACAGATTGGTCCCATAGAAATTTTATCAAAATCGCTTCAATAGTTTAGTTTTTAGATCAAAATTATTAGTTTTGTCACAATTGAAGTCGGTTCTTTTTATGGGACACAATCTTTAATTATTATATGTATATTTACTTCTGTTCTTTATACATACCTTAGCGTTCGCTTGTTCCATAAGCATGTTTCGGAGTTTCTCTTGCTGAGCAGACTCTTCAGCCGCCTTCAAGTTTTGTGAGTAATGGGCGCGCAGGTAATCAATATTGAACTTTATTTCTTGCAGGAATGCGATTGCTTCTTCCTTTGTCATCTATAGAAAACAATTTAGTATTAAATAATGAGTAATTAATAATACATATTAGTTTCCGTGTAGTGATTGATTAAAAAATAATATGTATAACATATATATTAATATAGCTACAGTATGATAGAACTTGCTGGCGTATGAGTGGTTTCAGCATAGTATAGGCCAGCTCTTCCTTTCCCTTACATATTGTTAGAGGTAATGTAGAGAACTGAATGTTCGAGGGATGGACAGCAACGTCCCTCTTAAAACATCACTAAAAGCCTAACTGCGGTTGCTAACTCGCCAGCCAAACTTGGCACCTACTGGCAAAAGTCCCCTTATGGGGAAGGTTTATGTTCAGCAGTGGACAGTTAACGACTGATATAATGGTGACGATGATAGAACTCAAATCCTGAAAATTATAAGAGACAAGTGTCGCACCATATTTCATATTAATAAGGTTTGTTAACGATATTTATCATCAAACGTTTGATTAGAAACTTTAGTTGACAAAAAAGTTTAATGTTTCGATATACTACGACCAATCTAGTAATCAAAATACCTATCTTTTGATCTAGGGTAGTAAACCTTCTAATCTATCTATTTTTACAATAAATTTCTTACGAAATATACAAGTATAGCCGAGTTTCTAAGGCTTTAAACATTTCTGGTCTTTTTGTACTATGTTTTTATCGAATAACGTCTATGATAAAATATTTATATCTGATTCTGTTATAGAAATTAAGATGTAAAAATAATTACCAATCCTTCTTGAAGGAAGTCTTCGATAGAAGCGGTGACACCACGCTCGTCACCTGTCCAAAATACGTATTCCGCCATATCCAAAGGAGAGTACTGCACTCCAGTGTAGGAAGAGTAATGGTCCATCTAAATAGTAATATTTGAAATAAGTATATTTTATTTATTAATATATAGTATAAATTTTAAAATTACACACAAATATTGTAACTAAACCGCCTTTAAGAATCGTTGTGCCTTTAAAAAAAAAAAAATTTTTTTTTTCACTATTTTTAAGGGCTGTGACCATATTATTATGCATTATTATATTATTATATATTACAGGATTATATCTAATAATGCTCTATAGTTTCCAGAATCGATTTCTCAAAAGAACATAAAATTTTTTACCTAGTTAATTTTAAGCTCTCGTGTTGTTGACGCATATTTTAAATACACTATTGGGACTTAACACAATGAAAAAACTACCTACTTTATTCACTTCATTTACCTACCTTATCAATTTATGGAAAAAAAATTTTAGCAGATAGAGAATACCATAAGCAATTTAATTGCAACTTAAATGAAATATAAAATTAAAAAAAAAGTAATAAATAATTGTGTTTCAACGATTACACGACTTATTTATTGGACAATTTAGCAGGAAATTAGTTCTAGGAAGAACTCTAATTCACTAATCGCAGACCGATCGAGTTCAAGCATCGTTAAATTGGTCTCCACAATTAGTTAATAGTGGCTTATAAAGGTCTTCCCTTCCATACATAATTTATCGTAATTTCACGATGGGATCGGTTTAGTGGTTTTATAATTATGCGTTAGGTTTTTGTGATTACAGAATTTTATTTGTAGTCTAATTTTGAACGATTTGTTATGGGTAATAATGGAGAATAGATGTAAATTTCTCATATTGTTAATAATTTGCACATCGACATAAAAGCAAAGTGTATATGGGAAATGTAAACCTCTTTCATCTAAAACTACCTTCATTCTATCAAAATTAATTTTATTTCATGTCATTAATTCTCCTATTTTGTGAATCTCTTAGATCTACGTTATAGTTCTTATTTCTTTCAATTTTTTTTCTGTTATATGTATATATATCTCTTCAGGCCTTACTCATAATGAGTTAAATAGAGAGAATTAAAGGTCAAAGGATACTGTCCTTACGTATGTAAGTTTCAGCGAATATATTTTCATTATTCGTCTTCTTAATGTACGTATTCTTCAGAGACTAACTTTTCTCTTAGTCTTTATGCAATATACTGGTATGTTATAATCGTTACGATATTTTATACACTTACAAAATACATACGAGTACCTATATTTAAAATTCAATCTTAATTATTCATTCTACAGTTATTGATTGTTTTAAATCAAATATACATACGTTATTATTTGTTTCCTTAGTGATGTCGGCGTTAAAGGCGCGTCGTGCTGCTGAATGCCCATTTTGAGGATTATTAGTAGCAGATCCTGGCTGGACCAAACGAGCCGCTCCATGGAACACCTACGTAGAGACATAGTCAACTTCAATATAAAGTCAATAGAATTGGAGTATTTATGTTGATATTATTTATTTCTTTTTTTATGCTATTTAGCGCACTTATTGAAGAAAAGTGATAATCGTCACGTAATAAGTATGAACTTTAATATATTGACGATAAATAACGTGTTTAGCATAGCATCGTTACTTGCTAAATTTACTTTATTTAGCAAGTAACGATGCTATTTTATTTGTTGGCACTTGGTGGAACTTTGTACGTTTATAACCTCCAAGTTATTCTTTAATTGATTGCGTGAAAAAAAACAAATGTAAATAATCCTTCGATAATGTCTTAAAAGGAAAACAATTCGTGGAAATGTTATTCTAATAATATTAATATATTAACCTTAGTGGTTTGTTCCTCACTAGCAGCGGTAGGCGCGGCGGTAGCATCTTGCACGCTCACGTGCGCGCCATCCTGCACGAGCACGCGGTGCACGCCCTCAGCGGGCACGTCTAGCTGCGCCTGCGCGTGTACATGGGGCTTCTCGCCAGGCGCCGAATCCGCTGACGCGTGCTGTTCCAATCGCGACACCAGCTCGCCGTTTGTCTTTACTGCATCTATTAAATTATCAATAGCCTCTAAATTATTTCATTTTCAATTAATCAAATTAAAAAAAAATTAAAATTATAGCTATACTTAGTTTTGATTAATATTATAAATGCGAAAGGAAATTTGTCTGTTGATTTACTACCATTTACTGATTCTACCGATCGTTTCGAAATTTGGTATTGGTACACGTACTATTTGGTATGGAAAATATTTTTTGTTAGATAATCTACATATGCGGAATATATTAATTAACTGAGGCAAAAAATAGTCTTATAAACGAAGTCACAGATAAAAAAGTAGTGAATAATAGTAGTTAATAGTCAGTGTTTTATGTATAGTTGGATTTGTTTAAATATTAGTGGAAAAATTTAATTTCTATATATTTTTCCGTTCTCTTCTTTCTCTCTTATTTGATAACTGAGTAGGAACATCACGCACCACCTTTTTGTTTCATCTTTATTATGATGTAAAAGATGCAAAACAAATCAAAATAATATAATTAATTTTATTATCTTTTTATTTTCTGATTATTTGAATAGAATTACTTTGTTCAATTCCGATAACCATAGTATGTGTATTATTGTATAGTATGTGTACCATATTATGTAGCCAACACTTAAAAATAGACCACCACTATTTTTACCAGAAGTTTCTCAAACTTCTGTATCAGCCATCAATCTCCAACCATCATTTTATTCACGCACCTTTTGCCACACGTGTCATATTACCTATGTTATATTTGCCTAAAAATGTCTCGTTTAGAGGTGAAATATGTGTCACAAAAAATGCGTGGACGTAATGGCGGTCGGGGATTGATGGCTAACATGAAAGGTTATAGAACTTCCGCTAATAATAATAGTATTCAATCTTCGAGTGGCAGTTGCACACATACGGTATGACAAAATTATTCTAAGTAACTAACCAGTAGGTAATATCGACTCTCGTAAAATAACACCTAGTTCAGTAAAATATTTAAAATATGATAATAGTACATAAGTACGTATAAAGAAAACTCAAATATAAGTCATAAAAGCCATTTTTGACTTTTTCCGTTATAATGAACTTAATACTCAGAATGTCTATACTTCACCGACCATATTAGGTACATCCTTATTATTATTATAAATCTAAGATTGTTTGTTATCTTATAGTACCATAACGACTTAACCAATCACTATGAAATTTACACATACACATACTATACAGTATGGAGAAGGATATAGGCTTTTCATCTTGTTATGTAAACATATCCTAGTTACGCGGACGAGGTCGCGGGTAAAACTAGTCTTACAATATTTTTATTTGTATAATTAATTTATTGGTATATATATTTTACTTATTGATTATAATATTAATACATATTATAGATATTTATGGCTATTTTCTCAGAAACAGACCAGGAATAGATTTTTTTTTATTGGTGAAAAAGGGCATGGTAACCTCGCCTGTGCTATTGGTATACATTGGCGGGGTACCAGTACGAGATGATAGGTGAGGATGAAAAGGCAAGTCAGTTAGCTCATTGTGACGAACTCAACAATAAATTAGTCACGATAGTTTCCAGGAGGAACCGCGCGGAGGTCGACCTGGTAGGGTATATTGATAGCAATGGGGATTAACCTACCCATTACGAACAATCCTTCTTCCCTCCCACTCAGGTATACATTAGGGCTTTTTAAATTTTCACCACGTTCAAGGAATATAAACGGTCACTGTACATATTTAGTATTCATTGCTCTGTTCCGATAGCGGACGCCAACGAGACTTTAAAAAGACAAATACAATTTCTTTTCTCCATTCCACACTGAAAGTTTATCTTTGCATCACGAATAGTTAACCGCTACTATCAGTTGACCTACATTTCTACTTTATCTTTAGTTAACGTAAAGTTAAATGTATCTTTAACTCGTATCTGTTAAAAATACATCTAACTATACGGTAACTAAAGGTAAAATAGAAATGTATGTATGTACTCAAAATAATGGGATTTTTTCTGATATAGTGCAAAGTAATCGAATAATATATTTATAATGATACCTTCAATCATAAATATATTACGCATATTAGGGGTTGCTTGCTTTAAAAGTAGGTGTTTTAGAGGCCAATATTGAAATATATAATGTACTTTACACTGCAAAATATATATAATACCGTGGATAATTTAGGTAAGAGAAATCTTAAGTATAAATATGTTGAAATGTACATATCAATATATGTACGTAAGTTCTAAAGGTTAGTTGAGCGAGATGCTTTTAGCATTAAGAGCGCCTTATACGAGTACATTTATATTTGTGCATTAAAGAAACAATACTAAAGAAACTGGTAACCACTTATAGACATATATAGTACTATCCAGTAATTTTACAACGTTCAACAGCCATTGAAGCTGCTTGGTGATCAGCGTTGCAAGATTGGGTACTTTTTTTAAAAAACATTTTTTTATTCGCAAAATTTTGGAGAAACATGAAATGGTCTTGAAAAAATTTTTAACCGTTCTGCGGTATATAAGTACGATAAAATTTACCACGGAAAGAAAGAAAAGTTAAGCGCAGAGGACTCTTTTTTTTTTGTTACGTTGTCATTACATGGCAAAACGTAGTGAAAATCAACACAAGTTTGTAATGTTAAAAGATTGGGTACAAGTGAAAGAAATCGTATTGATTTATATATAAAAGATATTTGACATTTAGCAAAAATAAAAAATAACATCGTGCAACCTTGATGGTGGCAGGAAATATGGATAGGACAGGACAGTAATAATAGACGAGATTTAAAAGTTAATAAAGGCATGCACTGGAAAAACAATCATCAAGATCCATGTTTTTCAAGCATGTACAAGTTTATTTTAAATATTGTTAAGAAAATTTAAAAGTGACAAATTGATGATAAGTGTACTAAACTATAACTATAAAACTAACACACACGTTTATGTGATTAGTGCAAAGATTTCAGATTTGTAACTAACAATTGTCAACTCTGTAAAAAAGTGTCAACATTAGTATCAATAGTGCCAAGATTCGACATTTCGAACTAGAAAGAAGAGAATCAAAAGGACTTGTATCCAGAACCGTAAAACATATGGTACATATAAAAAAAAACAGTAACCCAAGTGAGACCAAAGATAAAAAGTCTTCTAAATGACAATGTAATATATAATGAAAAAAATTGTTTTATAGAGTTAATTTTCTGTTTGATTTTGCCAATAAATTCCCTGTACCATTGTATTTGATTGACTAAAAGAGTTCTCTTTTGAACATAAGTTCGACTTTGGTCCCATTATTTATATTTGATACTATTACTTTATTTCTGAGTGCAACAAGGAATATTATTACAAAGTTAAACACACATCATAGGCAGTGTATACGCAAGTGATATCAATATTAATAATAAATCTAATCAAAATATTCATGAGCGATGAATCCGAACAACTTGGTCTGACTTTAAATTAGTTTCCAGTTCACTTAGTCAAGAAAAATGTCTTAAAGAAAGCAATTTATATAGAGTGTCGTAAGCAGCTAAGCATTTATTTATTTCTCAGCAAAGTTTTTAATTGATCAATATTCGTATTTATTGAGTGGCAATCAATTTAGGGGGTTTTCCAAGAACCACTTACAACTTGACAAAATTAGTTCATTTATTTAAACGAGAGTTGAATGAATGAGTTGAAATATTATTATTGACATGTGGATTAGCAATAATAATTATTCTTTTTTAAATTAAAAGATTATTCCCCTTCCTTTCCCGGGATGAGCAGCAGCGTCTCTCTTACAACATCTATAAAAGCCTAACTGCGGTTGCCAACCCGCTTGACATGCGTAGCAACTACTGGCAAACCCCGTCTTATGGGAAAAGCCTACGTTCAGCAGTGGACAGTTAACGGCTTATATATATATATATATATATATATTTAAAAAATATAAAAACAAAAAAAAATATTGTTAACTGAGACAAACAAAGCTTAAATCCATTATGTAAAACAGGTATATGTATATTGCTTCATAAAAAACCAACCTCAGTCACGAATGCACTGATAAACGATAAAATGTATCATAGATATCCTACGATTTGATTTGTGGAGACTCATATTGTAAATATTATTTTTGATTAGCAACAGACAATTTTTTTGCACCAGTGTGCTTAAATTATTTTTGTTTTGCATCGTAAAGAAATACGATAGCTGTAACTGTTGCAAAATAGAAAAAAGAGTTATTCCTATCTATTGCAAAGAGAATAGTAAATTTCAGGATTAAACGCAAAGCATAAATTTAAAGAAATTCCTCTTCTTTGGAAAGAGTCTTCTTTTCTTTGGAAATGGCTTAAAAATGAGTATTTAGTAATAAAAAGTCTTCGAGAAACACTATAGGTAATTATTGTCGAATTTTATACGGTTTCATTGTCACTATTAAGATTTTTTTATTGATAGAGAATATAGAGAGTATGAACTAAATTACATCCCACGTAAAGCGTTATGAAGCAGTGGAAAATATTAATCGATTAAAAGGCTCCCTCAGAGCCCTTTTTGTTCCATACATCCATATCATTCTGACTACACGCATATTACCACAAGTCCAGTCGCACAATTTAATTTATTTACGTTAGCGTGCTGTGTGAATCGACGCATATAAATATTGATGTATATATTAATACGATATAACAGTCTATATCATCCACTATTCGATATAATATTGTATTAATTGTATATCCCATTAGAATTATAAATACGAAAGTTTTTAAGCATAGATGGATGGATGTTTGTTACTTTATCACGCAAAAACTACTGAACGGATTTGAATAAATTTTGGTACACGAACTTAATACATAAGATATTTTATATATTGATTCATCAGTTGAAGTCACAGGATACAGATAAACTACGTATTTACCAAAATACGTGTCGAAACTGTGATATGTGTTTGTGAAATGTAATTCAACATATATTTTGTTGGATAATGAAAAATATATTATTATATTATATATTATTCCCCATACCTTAGAGCCTAGATGGTCGAGTACAATAAGGTTTCAGAAATGTTTCCTCTCACGAACACTCAAGTTATGGAATGAGCTCCCCTGTCTGAAGTTTTTCCAAGAGATTACATCAGGGTCGACAAAGCGCGCGTAATGCCCCTAGTACTACAGGCATTCATAGGCTAATACTAATACGGAAATCGCTTAACGGTATTAAAAAAACATCCCAAGTGGCGTCGGTGGCATCATTAAAGGGGCTGCATCACTCTAAGAATGTTTTTGTAATACTGTAATCAAGATTCACCTCTTACTAGACCTCGCTATTGTACATAACGGTATAAATTTTAGAGGCTGTTAATACACGAACTCCATTGCTTCTATAACATAGTTAGATATATAATTCTGCTAAGACTGTTAGAATTCTGCTAAGACTGTTAGAAATGTATTAACATATGGGCCAGGGGATAAGGGCCCAATCCTTTAATGATAGCCTTAGGAGATTGGGTAATATGTTAATACTTATAAGTGTTAGGTGATACTACGGTAACTACTACACTATGAAACTTTTGAGATATTAAGTACATAAGCATAATATATACATAAATCAGCATATTTTAACGTATTTATAAAATAACGATAATTTTTTGAAACACATTACTTTTTTTTATGTAACTTAGAATAGTAAACAAGCTGACAGCCCACTTGATGGAAAGTGGTAACCGTCGCCTATAGACATGAGCAGTACCATGGACATAACAGAGTATACTATTTCGCCTATGATACCTCCCATGCGTTGCCATTCCTGAGGATCAGATGTTATTCTTCTGTACCCTGTAAATTCACTGCCATATCCTACCCTTCAAACCAAAACACAGCCATACAAACACAACTGCTTCACGATAGAAACACCAATGAGACAGAGATACCCAAACAAACGACTTTTGTATAAAGTCTCCCTCTGGTGAAATAATATTGCAAGATTGTTTATGGTTCATGACCACAAAACATATTTTATAACATCATTATATAATATTATTATCATATCTACCATTAACTGTCCACTGCTGAACATAGGCCTCCCACATAGGGGTGGAGGGGGGTTGCCAGTACTTGCCACGCTTGGCAGTCTGGTTGGCAACCGCTGTTTGGCTTTTGTTGATGTTTTAAGAGGGACCCTGCCGCTCATCCCTCCTTTATAAGCTCCCTGAGTCGCCTCTTATGACATCACGGGAAAGGAAGGGTTATTCTATTCTATACCGGTACCTACTGGGCTGTACCACATATGCTATATGATATTCTCCTACTTTCCAAGATAGTCGAATAAAAATAGGAATCAAATACTTTTCACTATTCCATCCAGCATTTTTATCCACATAATTTAGATTAGATTAAAGTGTATTTTATATTTTAATTCAGTACGCTCCATTCATATACCAACTTTCATTTAAAACCATTCAAGCGTTACTGAATAAAACATGTGAATATAAAACATGTCTACTACCACATTTGTAATATTAGAAGATTCTATTTTCAACTTATTATGTTGGTAATACTTAGTGGCTAAACAAGTTTTCTCTGCGATAACAACTTCGCGATTCAATCACTCTATAAATGGATGACCCAGTAAATGGCTTCATTCCACTTGGATAAGTGCTACCACGGGTATCGAATCTATTTTTAGATTCTTTATGGTAAAAGTAAATTTTGTCCATCCATCTTTTCCGGCTTTTTTTCTTCATAACTCATTTAGAAGCAAGAATTGTACATACTGTGTAACAGAGAAATATATTCCAAATCCACTGTCAATAATTTCGTTAATATAAAAAATATAACAAGATAGTGTCTATACATAGAAGACATTTAAGAAATAAAAAAATATATGAGGGGTCCTATTGAGAGCAATATAAATCAATAATATTTAGACATTTTGTTTGCCTGTATATTTATTCTGGCATCACGCAATAACTACTACACCAAATTTGATGCAATTTTCACAGTTGTATTCCTAAAGTTCTAACTTTAAAACTGGTGTTTATTATATCTTCATATGCCATTTAGAAGCTCTTATTTATCAACCTTCCTACGTTCAAAATCACGTACGTAGTTGCGGAGAAAAACTAGTAATTAATAATAGTTAACTTTTTGTTATTTACTGTAGTATTATACGACATGACACTTTTTAAAAGAGCATAGTAGAAAGAACAATAGAGGTCAAAAGAGGCAAGGGAAGCCCGAGGAGTAACTACATGGGACAGATAAAGGAAACACTAGGCGTCATGTCGTACAGGGAGGTTAAAGATATGGCGTGGAATAGAGCTAGCTGGAAGAAAATGCATGAATTAATTGCACCGATAAGAGGAAACTCTTAAATGAAAAGAGAAAGTAGTAGTATACGATTTATCTAAATCTAAGTGGACTATTAACATTATGCCACGGTCGATATGCGTAAGTTAGTAGAGTCGTATTTAAAGGATCAATTTCTCAATGTATATTTTTGTGTGTATTTTACGCGACACTCGACATCATAGTCAATATTAAATTGATTTTCTTCGTACTCGACAGTTTTTTATAATATTATATAATATATACCCACATAATATTTTGTCATTAGTATTTAAAAAGTAAAGGTTTTGGAAAAACACGCATGCTCATAACATATTATTACTAGCATCTGTATTCCGTGTTTTTCAGCAAATAAATAAATTATTATTATTATTGGACGCATATTAATCTTATTAATTATGATGTGAATTTACAGGGTACAGAGGAATAACACCCGAGTCCTCAGGAATGGCAACACATGGGCGTATCATGGGCGAAACAGTATACTCTATTATGTCCATGGTACTGCTCATGTCTATAGGCGTTACCACTTTCCATCAGGTGGGCGGTCAGATTGTTTGCCATTCTAAGTTGTATAAAAAAAAAAACAAAAATATATAATAAATGCGAAATTTTGCAACGTTGGATGGATGGATGGATGTATTGTTACTCTTTCACGCAAAAACGAACGAATGAATTTTAATTAAATTTGGGTAGGTTATACCCTTAGCACATAGGATACTTTATGTACTAATTCAAATGGGCATAGCTACGGAATGCACCTGGTTAATAACATAATTAATTTTATGACAAAATAAACAACTATTATACTTTCAAAATTAATTCAGACTGATGTCGTAATCGCATTAGTTAGATGAATTGAGAAATTTCTTCAATTATTATAGAAGTCGCTTAAAAATAGATGAAATTGAGTTTAAGTAGTATTATAAAACCAATTAAGAAACTTTGTTTCATTTAAAGGCAGTGAATTAATAAAATTAACTTAAACAAAAATCAATCTCTTTCATAAGCAAAGCCAAGGTCAATTTGTATTATGGAAAAGTTTTCGTTCTGTTTACCCATCACACCACAATAGGATTATTTAATAAATTTGTTTGTTGTGCAAATTTAAATCAATAAAAAATATATTTACATCAAAAAGTTCCTAACATGATTAAGGAATGAAATTAGATATATTTTTAGAATACTGCATTCAAGAGTCCTAATTGTTCGATTGAAAAATTTATAATTTTACCTCTCAGCTATTTAAAACTAAATCTACTGTTATCCCAATAACAAAAAAATATTTCCCAAAAAATAGAATTACTCAAAAATTCGATAAAAACCTAATAATGTTACCGCCATAGGCATTTTATCATAGAATGTGAATGTTATAAAAATATCTACGACTAGTAAAAAGTCTTGTAACGTGATCTAACTTTGTATATTAAAAATTCCTGTAGTTGGCACATGAATTTAATTGAGTTGTTATCCAGGTTACATATAGTACTTATAAGATATTACTAAATATTTAAATGTAGTAAAAACAGAATTTATATGATATATGTGAACAATAAAACAACTACAACATTGAGTTGATTACTAATATTGATGATTCGTGTGTCAGCGAATTTACAATCTTTTGATGGTTCAAGTGCGGTCATTAAGCTTGACATGTGCCATTTACCTTTTAAAACTCTACACTAATTACATCTTTGTGACCTCACGTTGTACCGGAATGTATAATTTAAAATGAAATGCAACTAAATAGCTTAAAAATGTTTTATACTTGAAATACCTCTATAAACATTAATCCTACTAAATATAAATATAAAAATTTGTAACGATGAATGTAGGAATATTTGTAAGTTTGTTACTCAACCACACTTAAACTACTAAACAGATTTGAAGGAAATTTGATACGCAGATAGGTTATATCCTAATTTAGCACATATGCTGTTTTTATATGCTGTTTTACGCAAACAAAGCTGTGTGCATTATAAAATATAATAATAATATATAAAAAAGGCGGCCTTATCGCTAAAAGCAATCTCTTACAGACAACCTATAATATAATTATCTTCAAACTGTAAAAAATAAGGAACAGAAGAAGTAAATAACGAAAAAATTTGTCTATCAGTACATGAATATTTAACTGGTCAAAGTGATTAAATTAAATGGACTTGTTTACTAAACTTTTACAACTCGACAAAAAATTATAAGTTGTAAAGTGCCTACTTAAAAAGGTTCTCGGCAAAGATGATCATTACATATCTAATGACAATATAATATAAAAGAAAATTATAAAAAAGGACAGACTAAATACGGCAAGTATTATTCTTAATCTATGCGCTAAGTGGACACAGATGTAGGATAATATATGCCATTCTCTTTCTACATAAATATACAGCAACTAGTATGGGTAGAAGATTAAAAAAAGTATCCGTACTAAACCAGCGAGCTTTAAGCTTGAACTATTATTGCTCATTGACGTCTCGCTATTGTATACCGAGGTCTAAGAGCTGATCTGTTTTTTATTAACAGTTTTACGGCCCTGGATACTACCCCTTGAATAAACGAAGTTGCCATTCTTTATCATCTATTAAAAAAAATAGCTAGTAATTAGTATAAACTCACCGAGTCTGTGGTACTCCATGTGTTCAGTAATTTCAGGTTCCTCTTTACCGGTTTCCACTGAAATAATAGAAAAGAATTATTATACAAATTTAAAAATAACAATTTGATGCTGGTACAGAAAGCAAAAGCATATTATAAAAATACTTGATCATTCATTACTTGGTTGTATTAATGAGTGAGCTCGGGTACAATGGCTGTTATGAATTGGAAGGAAAGGAAAACATACTATGCTTACCACGAGCTATAAATAAATTTTACAATGAAACACCGAAGGATATTTTAGTTCTGCCTTTCAATTCCGAAAATTTCAATAATAAACACTTCCTGAGTAAAGCTTATTCATTCGAAGATAGACGAATTTTGCGCTAGTGAATCGTACACGTGTATCTCAGTTTATTTTATTCTTCAGTAAAATATAATAAAAATGTTGATTAACTGTGATTATTTCTTGTAATTATTTATATTTATAATAAGTTTACTATTGTAATCTTTTGGAGGAAACAATAAAGAGTATATATCTATATCTATATCTATATCTAACTGATAAAGAATGCTGCTAGTATTAAGTCTGCCTTTTATATTATACTATAAAAGGTGAAGTTTATTATTCTAGTATACTAGAATAATAAAGTTATTTAAATAAATAAATAAGTTACAAAGTTATAGTTTATAGTACATTTTTAAGGATACAAGTCAGTTTTACCCGGCTGAAATTGCTTACTCAAATGAACAGTAAGCTCAGAAAGTGACTGGTATGAGCGGAAATAAAAAAAAATCCTTATGAATAAATTATTTTGACTTTTTGTTACTTTCGCCCAAAACAAGTAACAGAATATAGTAAAAATAAAAAGAAAGTGAAAATATATATTTTGTATATATAACACAGACAAACTCATGGTATGAGTATAATTTTTCCTTTCATGTTCTCGTATAATATAAATTAATTACATAAGCGGTGAGTATATATAGTTCAAGATTTACATCTATCATTGAACAAGATATTGTTTCAGTTACGTCTACTACCTACTCATCATATTTACAAATACGTATTTGGGTAGGTTTATTAATAGAAATATGCGTAGGAATCATTTGTTATCTATGCAAAGTTATAAGGTCCAATGTTATTAAATATTCCGATTTTATCAGCAATCGAAAACGGTTTTCAATTCGATAATATTATACCTGTATTTTTTAATCAATCAGAAACATTGAAAATTGTTTTTGAAAATTCACAGATAATTTTGTATATCGCCATTCTTCGACAAGTCATGAGTGATCTTGATATACCTAGTAATCCGCCCGGTTTTGAACCATTTTTTTCGAACTAAAATACAACTCATGTTACTCGCTAATGATGTAGCTTTCTATAGGCGAAAGAAGTATTAAAATCGGTTGAGTAGTTTTAAGCTTATTCATATCCAAAAAAAAACAAATATTTCCTCTTTATAATACTCATAATACATAAGGCTATATTCTGGCCTTATTGGGATTTCGACCGTCCACATTTCTAGGTTGAGCTTACCCGATAAATTATGACGTCAGCCCGGTGATTTATGAGAGATCATTTTCACCGCTTGTGTCAGAGTGCAAGGTCTTGATACACTAATTAGGTGAAATAAAGATCTATTGCTTTTGTAACCTTTATAGACAATTTTATTTTTTAAATATACAGGGAAAATGGTAAATAAATACCATTCTCATAACCAAAAAAATATGGATCAAATAACAAGAAAAAAGTTTCAGATTCTCATATTAACTTAACGCGTCAAGCTATCAAGTGAGCATGGGATCGAGCCATGTTAATTTCGAAAATTTCGTATGAGTATTATATGTATTATCTTACATAATATTATTCTATGTTATATAATTGTATTTATAAATTATTTGCTATTTTTATATAATTATATATATATAATATTATTTATTTATTTATTTCTTTCTTTATTGTACACATTAGTTATAAGAATATGCAAGAGGTAATTAAAAGTACAAACGCGAGCTTAACTCTGATAGAGTTTTCTTCCAGCAAACCCATATAATTTCAGGCGTCAAGTGCGTCTTTTACACTGTCCAAGTGTATTAAAGTTCAATAATTAAATAATTTTACCTACTAAATATATCAAGTTATATATGGATCCCTATTATATAAAACTTAAATCACAAATGTCAAAAAACAAATACAGTAAAAACAAATTGAAGTTTATATTATTACATTACATTACATTGCACTAGATATATTTTTAGCGGTTAAAAATATCTCGTAAACTTAAAATTTCCTTGCTTTATCGTTACGTAATTGACTTCGTTGAAGTAAACGTCATTCTTCATTATTCGAATAATAAATCATCAAAGTTTATAGAAACATAATTTTACCTTGAATTTCTTATAAAATATTTAACCAAACAAAACGGATTTTCATGATAAAGTGATTGATTAGTGGTCTAAAAGTAAAATTACGTTGTCTAATCAGGTCATGTAACTGTTTATTGTTTTATTGTTCATATCCAAAGAGTATCTATCGAAAATAGAAGATATATATATATATATATATATATATATATATATATATATATATATATATATATATATATATAAAATTTCTATGGAATGAATCCGTCAGTATATCCTTTAACTCGTAGATAAAAAAAGAATTTTTTAAGCCGGTTTATAACTGCTGGAGTTATATGGTAACAAACTTAAAAAATACAACCGAATTTAAAACATAACTATAGTTTAAGTTTTGTTGAAATTATTACAGAAATTCTTTATAAATAAAATTTGTAATAAATCCAAACATTCAATTAGCGATTTTTTATTTGTATTATCCAACGTATTCGTTTGTTTTTTTTTTCCTTTCATAGTCAATTACACTTCTTGCACCAAATAGCTACCGTCTTTTTTGCCAGTAGTTGTCACGCTTGGCAGACGGGTTGGCAACCAAAGGGACTGATAATCCCCGTTTTTATCAAAGTAGATTTAATTGCTAACCTTAAAGTGCCTTTGTCCCTAGGAAAATGAGTATTGATTAGTTTTCTATGAATTGACTTTCGTTTAAATATTCATTATTATAACTTTTGTTATAAAGTGTATAGACTCATTGATACAGCCACCTTCTGAAGAATAAAGAGAAATGAACCAATTTAGTATTTAAATTAATAATAAATATACTGAATAAACTAAATGTTTTTTGCCTTTGTTATTTAATTTATTTTGTCTGCTCTTTCCAAAAATAATTTTAAATAACAATTATACATATACAGGGGGAAATTTAAACAATTAGCATACTTTAAAAAAAAACATGTCTCAAAAAACAACTATTGTTTTTATTTATTTCATGCTAAAAGACAATACAAGAGACTAAATATTTTTTATGCAACTTAGAATGACAAACAAGCTGATGGCCCACCTGATGAGCAGTACTATGGACATAACAGAGTATACTGTAAATGTTAAGAAATAAAATATATTCGTATAAATATTAGAGATATTAGCAATAATATTATATTTTTTTATTTCAAAGTTACACAAATCAACTGGTATTTTAACTATTTGAAGATCAATAATACGAGTAAGATCATCGTACCTGTATTTAGTTTTTAAAATAATTTTAATAAAATTTTATTTTATCAAATTTTTTTTTATGGTTGGTTATAGATGCTACTTCTACATCAATTTACTCCTCTTCCACTATCACTGCTGTCTAACAGAGAATTAACATCGTCAAGACTTTCTAATTATTGAATTTCATTTTTCATTTATAAGAAAGGAAAACATACAAAGCATTTGGTCACAAAACGACGAAAAAGAACTTATTTCGATCGTAATATTTTTTAAAAAACATGACATAATTATCTTGTGGTCCGTACCAAAAAATATATATTTAATTGTATGCCCATATGAAGGAAAAAGGTTTTAATTAAGTATTGGTCAATCCAATTACCCCCATGTACATACAATTATTAATTGGCGTGGTATGTCAAATAAAAGGTCGTATTTGCACTGTTGGCAGTAATTACGAAGCTAACGGTAAGTCTTGATTTAATATAATACATTACAATCCTCAATAATAGACATTTCTGCTCGTAAAATAGAATATTCATTTGATTTACTCATTTAGTTAATAAATTAAAGCTTATATGTGACTTTTTTTTTTAATAAAATACATTGTAACTCAAAATAATATTACCGTGTTACCAATTAAACAAGTGTACATTTTTGTTATGTCGATGGTACTGCTCATGTCTATAGTTGACGGTTACTACCTTTCATCAGGTGAGCCGTCAGCATATTTGCCATTCTAAGTTACATAAAAAAAAGAAAACATATCTTCAAAAAAATATGGTACACATTACGACAAAAAATTTATAAATTCCAGTATTAATTTAACAGCTGAGCGCGTCATAGAAGCCATATTGTAAATTGTCGAATACATAAAGTGCTTGTTAAAAAAATATTCAGAGAGAATTATGTATTAGAATAATGACAAACAAAAAGACAAAAGGGAACATCAAACAGTAATTTTAAAATTATGTCAAGACCTATATATCAAAACATTTCTAACCATTATCAACAAGCTTTAAATGTTTTATTACTTGTCGACCCATAATTACGACATGACGATGATGACAAATGTTCAAATCACTGAGCACCCCTTAAAAGAATTCTAATTGTGTTGACTTCACCGTGTAGATATGTTGTTATATTATATATATATAGTTATATTGCTATGTTGTAGCAATGATTCACTCCCAGTTTGCTCACGACTATACCGTGTGTGAAAGACTCACAATGAAAGATTAACAAAGATATCAAGATATCGTGTCCTCTAAATTAAATTAAACCTATTCTGATTTTCCTCTTTTTAGAAATAACTGTAAAAACAACTTGCAGATACGATCTCAATAAAACGAATCATGTTATTATTACGCAAGTAAGATGATCTATATATAAACCAATTTAAATCAACCGCGGTTCATTGAACTATGAGGTTATGGACAACCCTATTGTTGCAGGCTCCTTTTATACCTTTGAATGCTCCCAGTCCGCTCACACAGCGCAGGTAGAATCTCATCATAATACCATTTATACCTAAACAAATAGGTAAGCAAGTACCTAAGAAAACAAAGCAAATGCTTTATACAAACGCATACCACCCACGCTGTGAAAATGGTTACTCGCACTATAGGGTTGTAGGTATAAAGTATTTTTAAGTAATTTAATTATAATGAGCATTTTTTAAATGTCATTTATAATGAACCTACCGTCCAGTTCAGAATGCAATTTGAACTGAAAATAACGGACAAGAAAAAATAAAAAGGCTTTTTTCTATACACCAGAAGACTTTGTACAAAAGTAATTTGCTTGGGCACCTCTGTCCCATTAGTGTTTCAACCGTGAAGCAGTTGTATTTGCATGGCTGTGTTTCGATTCGGAAGGTGGGATATGACAGTGAGTTTATAGAATACAGAGGAATAACACCTTAGTCCTCAGGAATGGCAACGCATGGGAGGTATCATGGGCGAAACAATATACTCTGTTATGTTCTGCTCATGTCTATAGGCGACGGTTATTACTTTCCGTCGTGATGGTGAAAAGTAGTAACCGTCATCTTGTTTGCCATTCTAAGTTGCATAAAAATATACATATAAATATATAAATATACTCTTAAACAGAGCAGAAAACTCTATAATTTCTTTACATATACATTTATGTAGCTATATATAATAATTATATAAGTATAAGAGGCAATAACATTGGCGACAATTTATCGCTGTTGTTCGATCTACCCCGAACAATAAATCGTAGTGTGTGTCAGCGGTATTAGTTAACAAACTTATATATCGTCTAACACAAAGAAATCTTCTACTAATCATGTCATAGCTTTGCTGATATTGGATTTTTATATATTTTATTTTTCAGAAACCATACATTATATATTATCAAATTTATTTTTCTTAATTGTTTTGTTTCCTAATCTCTGGGATTATTTACAATAAGTAAAATCTTCTATTGAGCCCTACGTATTGTAAAATATTTCTAAATACTACTATTTTAATTATAATACTTATAAAGATTTAAATAATGAAAGTCAATATAAACGTTACATAACCTAATAAAGCTACTTTAGAAGATTTACATTTCTTCTCAATAATTCACATTGTTATGAATAATGAAGTATGTTTTAAAGTAAAAGTTTAAATCTAATTAAGTAATTTATTGCTTATACTTCGCTAATTTAAAGATTTTCAAACTTTCAAATCCGTCTTAAATTTTAAACAAACTAATCTATTAAGGGTTAATTTTTTTAATTTAAAATCTAAAGTTATAAAATAAAACAATGCTGTATAGAACGATCCCCCACTAAATGGAGGAACTACCTCAAATGCATTGCAGATTGTCAATGGATGCAGATGATTCGGGACCGTTCCTTATGGCAGTCTAGAGGCCTATGTTCTGCAGTGAATGATTAACGACTGAAAAAATAATGATGATGACGATATATTCGCTACCTCTACCCGCTGACATTGATGCTTCTTTCTAATTTGGATTTGCTGGAAATGAACTCTATTTAAATACAAGCTCACCTTTGTACATTTGCTTACCTCTGTTATATTTTTTATGTATTATTATTATTAATAAATAATAATAATAAAGTATAAATAAATAAAAATAAATAAATGATGAAGAGTTATAAAATAAATAATCAAATTCAGTTTACAATAAGTGAAGATATATATGTAGTATAGTCGAATTGAAAAAACCTTTTTCTTGTTGGTTAAAATCAAAAATGTATATCAGTTTCATGTCATTATATACAATATGCAAACCAATATACAATCTCCAACTTTTACCATCATTGAAAACTTGAACTTGTTTTTAAGATGATCATTATGCAAAGTGGATGATATGCCAAGTTAACATTTTGCGAATTTAGCAATATGCAAAATTTTCTCTTTATAAGGAACGAACAAATCGCTATACGGGTCACGGAGCGTAATGAATTCGAAATTCCATAACGACGATATCCGCAAAACAACCAATGTGACGGTATTATCTGATGAATCAGCAAGCAAGATAAGCAATAGATCGGTTCAATTTTCCAAACTAAACTCGAAGAACCGTTAAGCAGTGGGGTATAAGTACATTTTCCATGCTGATTACATGGAATCCGTAATTTAATCGTAACTAAATTTTAATATTGTGTCCCATAAAAATTAACTAGTTATTTGGATTAAGAAAGTAAACTATAGAACTGATATTTAAAATATTTGAAAATTTCTTAAAAATTAATCTGAAAGTATATCCTTATAGATAAAAAAAAAGATTTTTTAAAATCGGTTATAACTGGCGGAATCATGAGTTAACAAACATATAAAAAATACAAGTTAATTAAAAACCAATTTTTTTCAAGTCTTTTGAAAAAACGACGTGAGTAAATTGAAAACCTTTTCTGCCTTTGGAATGTTTTTAGCTTAGAACCGGAGATTTTTTTACAGAACTATATGTTATTTTGCGGAACTCTATCACACAATTGTGAATACATTTAGAAATGAAACACATGATGAAGCATTCGCGTGAACTGAATAACGATGAGAGATTGATGACTAATATGTAAGGTCGTAGAACTTCTATTAATAATAATAGTCGTCAATCGTCAAATGTTTGCAGTCGCTCGCTTACTAATGGTAGCGGAATTAAACAAAATAATTCTAAGCGACTAACCAGCAATCACTACTGTAATGAAATCTAGTGAAGACTAGATGGAGTGATGACTGCAAATGTTTAGACTAAAAATCCTTGACTACAGATGACTAAATTCAATACTCACCCATTTTCAACTTCTCCAGTTGCTCGACCGGTACATCCTGAAACAAATAAGTTAATTAATACCATGATAAGTAAAAAGTATGCAATAATTATTTACGTATAAAATATACTAGTTTTTAACATTCCTTTGAATATACTTCGTGCCTATTCTTCTTCTATATCGACCCTCCTGATAACTGTGTAAATAGTACTGTTTTAAAAATAAATTAACCTACTTTTTCTTTCGATTACTAGAGTAAAAATTAATATCGATGTTTAGATATGTGTAATTCAATCACGCCTAACATAGATTATAACTTATATTCATTCATTGTATTTTTATACCAGTTTAATAATAATATTTTTTTACAACGACCTCTCAGATTAATAACTATTAAAAACTAAAAAATATTCGTATATAAGTACGTACAAAAAAACTTAATTGATTGATGATCTATTTGAGTCTATTGAACGACGTTTAAGATTTGAAATAAAGATAAATGAAGGGTCTTATATCACGTAGTTGGCCATTAAAAAAGCGGTCCCGAAATTCCGAAACCAAAACCTGAAAGTATTTGGGAAAGAGACGAAAGAAAATTCTTTCGCCCAGCCAATGCTACCCTAAGACTCGCAATAACGAGCAAACCTAATTAAATATATCTTTTAATTATAAAATTCGCAACTTACACAGACTTTAATTAAACCAAACAAAAACAAAGTCTGCCCAGCTATTAATATTTCACTTGAATTTCTAACTTTTATAATGTTCGCCCAAGCAAACAATCAAATTTTAGATATTTCTTTGTTTCTAATGTTCCATTCGACAGCTTCTCTACTTACTTTATGGTTATTTATAAGGTAAATATAAACATCATAAAAATAAATATATTTCGTAAAACATTAATATGATAGGTTTTAAAATATGATAGATTATTGACAAATATTATCATCATATATACTATAATTATTTCTTACGCATCTCTCAATACTATTTTTTATAAACAATAACTAATTTTAGCCGTCATCGCAGTATTTTTTATGCAATTTAGAATAGTAAACAAGTTGGTAGCCCGCCTGATGGAAAGTGGAAACCGTCGCCACGAAACGTGAACAGTACTATGGACATAACAGAGTATACTGTATTGCTCATGATATCCTTCATGCGATGCCATTGCTGAGAACTAAGGTGTTATGACTCTGTACTCTGTAATTTTATTGCCATATTCGACCCTTCAAACTGAAACATAACCATGTAAACAAAATTGCTTCAAGGCAGAAACATGAATGGAACAGACATACCCAAGCAGAGAAGTTTCATACAAAATCTCCCTCTGGTTTAGTTTCACACACGTATACTTATTTTAATCATCCCATGGAAATATGTATATTGATTAACGGAATAAAAATACAAATAGGTACCTACTTTTATGAAGATTGGTTTAGCCATTATGGCGCCAGGAGATAACAAACCGAAAAAACACATTTGTATTGTGCAGTGTTACCATAACAATAAATATCACTAAAGAATTTACCTTAGTACATTGTGATATATGCGTAAGAATGATTTCTATATATCCCAAGAAGAACCATCAATAAAAATCGCTAAAATACACAAACAACAAACAAAAAAGTATAAAGTTATATAGTTCTAATCCTACTTAAGTCCTGATATCTAAGGGGTTGTGACTCTGTACCGTGGAAGTTTATTGTCCTATCTGGTCCTTCAAACTGAAATACAGCCTTGCAAACACAACTACCTCACGGCAGAAACACGAATGGGACAGAGGTATCCAAGCAAACGACCATCGAATAAAGTGTCTCTTTGGAAATTTTATGTATAACCGGTAAGTTTTAATATATTATATTCTTTAAAGAACTTGTAAACTGTACAGATAAGGCAGTTGTAAATATAGTGAACAAGGGTGGACTTATCTCTGAAAGAGATCTCTTCCAGCCAACCCGATACAGTGATAAGGATGTAGTTAGCAGGCAGCTAAAGTACATGTATGCTGTATAAACGACATGGATTCCAATATATAAAATGCAAATAAATAGATACATACATACATATTTGCCACGCCTGTCTCCCATTAAGGTAGGCAGAAACAATGGAACGCCAAATACTTCGATTCAAATAAACATTTTTCGCTTCTTCCACATTCATCAATCGTTTCATATATGTTACGGGTACGTTTAATTTGACCCTTCTTCAGCAGTGTTCCTCTTAAAACATCACCAAAAGCCAACTGCGGTTGCTAACTCGCCTGCCAAGTGTGGCAACTACTGGCAAAACTCCCTTATGGGAGAGACGGAGGGCTATGTTCACCAGTAAACAATTAACGGATGATACAACAACTATAATATTACATAGATACGTAAATATAACTTACCCACTTATACAATAAATGTAAAAATAAATATACTATATACATAAAAATTTTCCCTATCGAAAATATATTTCAGAAGCTTCTTTATGCAAAGTACAGCGCCCTTCTTATCAGGTTACGCCATGGAATGCGTAAATCTTATTCTTAACCATCGATTAAACGAATAAAGTTGGAACAGCACAGTGTAAGTGGATCCGACATCCGACCCAACTCCAAAAATATACGCCTCTAAGTGACATTGGAGTATAATAAAATCTTATTTGCATACTTAAAGCTTAGAAATCCACCGCATAGAATACAAAAGTGGTCAAATAAGCTATTTATATCCAGAAGCTTCTCCATACATAAGAACTGAAATGAAAACAATATCGATGTATCTATGTTCAGGTCACCCTTTACGACAAAGACAATTGAATACTAAAGTCATTTAATCTTACACGTGTAAGTGTCGTATTCCCGGAGACGAAAGGTCACGGCGGAGCTAGAATTTTGTACATTCTAACTGACGCTAGAATTTTGTCAATTTAAATTTGCTTTTCGAGTTACTCCCAGATTCCTGTAAACCTAAATAACCGTCCTTGAGACGCAGTAGGTTCATCCCTTATCACTTTTAATTTGAAATGCTACGTAAAAGGTTTTTATCAATGTGATATGCTGTAAATAGCGCATCCCCCGATAGAGCAGACCTAAGCTCTTAGCATTTAACTGTAATAAGTCACTGTGTTCTATTTAAATGAGCGACAACAAAAAAATTCTGTTTGGGTAATTCTCACTAAGGTTTCTATCACCTATCTAGACTTACATGGCTGGCATTGGAATCATTGTCCGAAGACATAACACCTTAGTTCTTATATTACTTTTCCAAATGGATTATTAACTGTTTTACTGTTTTTGTTATTTACTGTTTTTTATTACTGTTTAATTGTGTTTTTATTTGTTATTTTGTGTTTTTTTTTTCAGTATTATAAACATTATAAATACAAAATATATTTTAATGTTAGAATACGTTAATATATGTAATAACAATATTTTTTTATAACTAGCTTTTATCCGCGACTTTGTCCCTATGATCAAAATAATTTTCATTAGCGAGATAAAAGTGGTCTCTATCCCAAACAGTACTTGTATGTCAATCGTTATTGGATTTAATATACATTGATTGAGGATTGAGTTGCTAAAAACAGTTCTAATTCAACACAATTAATTGTTTTTTCTTTTTTTTCAACACAGGGGGCAAACTAGCATGCGGCTCACCTGATGGTAAGTGACTACCGCCACCCATGATCACCCACAATACCAGCGGCATTGCAGGTGTGCTGCTGGCCTTTTAAAAAGGAGTATACTCTTTTCTTAAAGGTTATGTTGTCGTATCGGTTCGGAAATACTGCTGCAGAGTGTAATTTTGCTGTAACCTAATTATCTCAATAAACTCAATATTTACATTATGAATATGTATCTATATTTTTAATATAAAATAATAATTAACTAATATATAAGATTCTTCCTCATAATTAATATATAAGAGCCTTCCTCTTTAAGTATCATTAACTAATTGCGATTGCCAACCCGCCTGTCAAGCGTGGTAAATACTGGCAACACCCCTCAATAAAAGGAAGCCTGCAAACAGTAGACAATTAACGGCTGATATCATGATGATGTAAGATTTATGTACTAAAATTTTATAATAATATGCTGTTGATATTTCTAATAAATAAATAAAAGTAAATCAATTTTAATCCATAACAAGAATTGCATCATAACTATATATAATTCGCCACTAGACAAAAAGACTAAAATGTAGGTGTAACTTAGACCTACTTAATTATAAACTAACTAGCGATCTGACCCATCTCCGCACGGTTAGAGAAAATTTTCGAAAATAATATATGGCCTATGCTACTTGCTGGTAATGTAGCTTACTATAAGTAAAAGAATTTTTAAAATGAAGTAAATATTTTTTTTAATTGATCTATCACAAAAAAACAAACAAATTATTCCTTTTTATAATATTAGTATAGATTAATTTTTTTTTACAACACAGGGGGCAAACTAACATGCGGCTCACCTGATGGTAAGTGACTACCGCCGCCCATGATCACCGACAACACCAGCGGCATTGCAGGTGTGCTGCCGGCCTTTTAAAAAGGAATATACTCATTTCTTGAAGACAGAAAAACAAAAGGAAACATCAAAAATAAATCTTATTAAGGCTCATCAAAATAGAATATTGATAGAAAAACAAAAACATTAAGATAATATAAGTAATTGGATAATAAACGTTTATTACCTCAAAACTCCGTCATTTATAAACCGATTTGAAAAATAATTTTTATCTAAAAATTTTTCTCATAGTAATCAGTTCAATATTTTAATTTTTAATTCAAAATTAACTGACTTTGTCACAACTGAAGTCAGTGTTTTTTTTTTTTTGTTTAAATTATTAAATTAATATGTAACAAAATAAAAATTTAAATTTAATTAAACAATCGTACTGTTATGTATAATAGAAAATGAATATGAATCTTATTGATATACTCCTATTTTGATAGGATTTAACCTTTAATAAGAATGAAATGCAATAAAATTTCTTAGACATGTAACAGCTATAGAAAAACTAGTCTGCTTTATAAGCAGACAAACCCTCGAGAGAATTTATTCATTATTGATTCTTATTATAGAGTTATCACAGGCGTTCCTTATAACACAAGTTTGACTCGATTATGGATATCATTAGATTAGCGTAGATCTTTGTGTTGCTACACAAAGAATATATATTGAGACACGCGGCAATAAAGTATAACGTATACCTAAGTATAATTAAAGATTGTGTTCCGCAAAGAAAACTGACTTCAATTGTAACAAAACTAGATATTTTGATTTCAAAAATGAACTGCTGAACCATTTATGATAAAATTGCTATAGAATTAATTTGAAGATTTTTTTTTATTTTAGGTAAAAAAAGAATATTCTAAATCGATTGAAAACTGACGGAGTTGTGAGGTAACAAACAAAAAAAAATACAACCGAATTAGGAATCTCCTTTTTTAAAATCGGTTGAAAATACAACATTCTGATAGAAGCATAATGATATTGATACTACTAAATTTAATAGGTATATAATATAAATTTAGTAAAAATATGCATTGAAAGGTAGCTGTGAGTTTATTAATTGAATTTCGTAAAAGTATTAGAGATAAATACAAGTATATATAAATATTTACACGTATGTTAAATGGCTGTACGTACAACTCACACACACACACACACACCAGACCTTTATCATATCATCGTCATGTCAAATCCTTTAACTGTTCACTGCTAAACATAGGCCTCCCCCATAGACTGTTATAAAGTTAGGTATGAACTAATATATTTTTTATTATGCAACTTGGAATCGTAAACAAGCTGTCAACTTACTTGATTGAAACTGGTAATTAATATAAGCATCTATAACAAAAAAAATAAAAATATTTATTCAATTATTACCATCGCAATATGTAAAACAAATTCAAATTTCAAATTGACAGCGTTAATAGTTGCTGAGAGATAACGCCGTAACGGACAGACGGATGACCAAAGTTGCATTGCAAGGTTTCCTTAGTACCTTTTTGACGCAGAACCCTAAAAACTAAAAATTTTGAGCATCCCCTACTAAGATGCATCATATCCAATTCACTTAGGACTTTAATTTTTTCCGTCGCCTTTCAACTTATATCTCTAAAAAGTATATTATACTTTAAAAATTACAATTAAAAATAACGCTAATTTACTTTCCACCAACATACCCCTCTTCTTCCAAGACCTCACATTTCCTTGTATTACATTCAGTCTAACTGACAGAATAATTTTTATTTCACCCAGTATACAAGGGCTGATATTCAAAGCTTTAGATATTCGATATATTCCTCTAAAGTAAACGTCGATTCGCACGGTACCCAGTGAACAAAAGAACGCGTGGGCGGCCTGTCTGCTCGTACTTGTCACCCAAATTACGCCCGTTGTACTCACCAACTTGGCACCCGCTCCGTCGCCTGTAACAACGATAAAAAGGTTTCATTAATATCTATTTTTGGTCTGAAACTAAGTGAGTGTTCCCATTGTGTTCAGTAATAAGAATTGGTTGTAACAGTACTAAGAATTTGTTGATACGAATTTGTCTACACTGTTCTATGTGTTTAACTTTACGTTCCCATTTCGTAAGATGCGGCTAATGTAAATTGAAATAAATGCCTAAACTCTACCTTTACGCCAGCTGATGAGGGAACTATTTTTAAAAATAGAAAGTTATATACATATGTATTGTGTATGTATACATTTAAATATGTGTATGTTTAGATTTATGTATGGATATAATTGTGCTTATTTACATATGTTTAGCTGTACATTTTTTTAACGCGCCCCTAATCTTTTATTCTTTATAACCAAGGGTTGTCTGAATGATATTGTTTAGAAATATGACCGCCTTTTGTTGTACACTATGTTTTATATATATATATATATATATATATATATATATATATATATATATATATATATATATATATATATATATATATATATATTAATTTTTTATTAAGCTTGAGCGCGGTTTATTTTTGAAAAGCACAATATAAAATTACTCGTATAATTTTTGTATATATTTTATATATAAACGTGAAATATGAAACAGCCCAAAAGGAGGCTTATATTCAGCAATGGACAGCTAAGGGCTAATATGAGAATATAGGAGGAGTATAACCAAGATATATTGATTGGACGGGATAAAATGTACCCTATTTACTTCTCTATTCCATTTCATTTACTATATGTAAACCAAATAAACAAACCTACTTTCATTTTTATAATTTAGTAAGAATTCTGTCCTGAATATACTTACTAATATTTTTAACATCGAGGCATAAAATTCATCAGCAAGGTATATTTAACAAGAACTGAAGCGTGACACTTAATTAAAAAAATCAGGAGGAACTGTGCTGTATTATGTCAAAGAAGATTTAAAAATAAAATGTTTGTTACAATTACTCTCGTCATTTAAAAATAGCGAGTTTCCTAGTCCCCAAACATTCTGTTTCACACAACCTTTGAGAGCATAATAGCCAATCAAGCCTCTATTAAATTATGGTAAATCGCCCGATGTTATTTTCCACGGTTAGCGAATATACTACCGCTTGAACGAGCATTTAGGTTGTAAACTTGTGAATCATCAATCAGTTTTATATACTACTAGTCTTATGTAAGATATAATATCAATAACTTCAATTCAGTCTCATATCTATTTAACCCTACATAAAATATGAACAATCCACTGACGGCCACACAATGGTGGTTATCATCTATAGAAGTAAATACGAGTACAAATACTTGTACAGTGACATCTGTATATCACATTATATACTATTTCAAAGTGTATATTATATTTTTGTTTTTGTTATACTTTTAACTTATAACAATTTTAAGTATAACTGTTACAAAATTAATAGTACTGGTAACATTACTAGTTTTTATCCGCGACACCATCACTGTGTATGTATACAGATAGATGAATGAATGTTTGTTAATCTTTCATGGAAAAACTACCAAGCGGATTTGAATAAAATTTAATACACGACTAGGTTTTTATGTAGGTAGGATCTTAACACAAGATACTTTATATACTTACAGATTCACCCGGAAAAAACCGTGGGATACAGCTAGTACAATATAATAGTTACAATAAAAAAGTGGCTCATTAAGAAATGCTTTTATAACCTGAAAGAATATTTTAATAATGACTCATAGAAAAAGGACATTAAATTTTTAAAATTATATATTGTAATATGTTTTTAATTTTTATGTATTGTAATTGTATATCGTATTTTTTTGATAATTTTAATATTGTACGCCCGTAGCGGATAGACTATGTTGTATACCATATTACCTATCAACCTGTAATTACCACAGTATGCACAATAAAAAATTGTTTCATTCATAAACCACATCTACTTATTTGTATACCAAATTTTATGACGATGATTGAGTCATCAAATTAAAAACTTACTTTTATGTTTACAATATTAATTTAGATCACAAAAAGTGATATACTAGATCAATGAAATCCTATATTGCCTATAAAGACGTGAAATAAATAAATAAATTTCTTCATACAGACTACTTATAATCCAACAGGTGTGTACGAAGTGAAATATCGACACTGCCGACAAAACCAATTTTCCGATTCAACGCTTGGCTTCTATAATGCTGTAGGGTAACTCACACCTAATATTACTCCAGACTCTAGAATATTCTGACTTACCCTTCTAATATTAAATTAGCAAAATAACTTTGTTTAAGTCTTTGTTGTGTTGATTGAAATAAAAACTTAAGATTGGATATGTAATTTTTTTTCGTATGCATATGTAATTTAGATTTTACATAATTATTTATTCCCGATAGAACAGGGCCGTAGCTAAACCCTAATATTGGAAGGACAAAAACTATAATATAATTAAGTGACTTTGAAAAAGCAAATCTATATAATTTTCTTAAGGCCTTTAATTTTAAGATAGGCATCTCAATACCACCCCTTCCCCCTACCTAGGTACGGCTATATACTAGAGCCAAGGATATGATATAAGAAATACAATATAACTAAGGTTAGAGTTTTTTTAAATCCGTTTTTTCTGACTACTTTGAAATTAGCTTGTTTGTTAATCTATCATAAAAAATTTACTCATTTACTCAGTTAGGTTAGGTAGATTTAAGTATCTCCTAGTTAATAGATAATTAGAAATATATGGACTTATAGATAAAATAGAACTGGGCGGATATTTAAATAATAAATTTATAATAACACCAATTTAAAACTAAAAAATTGAAAAATAATAAATAAAATACTAAATAATAAACTAAAACGGTGTTGGAACACCCATCGGGCGTTTAATATTTCACTGCCGCATGGACGGCCAGTCATAAATAGATTATCTATGCCAGTAACGTTCAATAGAGGTCCGTAAACCTGCTATATTCAGTTTTGTAAATAATTTATCATATGATAGTTCAAAGCAATCATGTTATTACAAGTATATTGTAAATGCATAAAACATACTAAGTGTAATTACGTAGCTCAGATATATTTGCTAGGATGAATAAAAGGCGTATAGACAAATGTCATATGCTGTCATTATTACATATATAGTTCATAATTGCTCTAAATTAATAAATTCTCTACCTACCGACTTGCGAAACAATATCACTGTTAAAAACTTAAAGTTTAAACTGAAAGCCTATTTACTGTCCAACCTTGCTAAAACAGCAGAATATTAATGTAAATATTGACATTTGAGAACGAAATGTAAAGTATCACACACAAGCCCAAGAGGTTTAAGTGGTACTGAAAATCCAGTTTTTTTTTTAATGTATTTATGAATGCTAATTAAATAAAAAAAACTGTTAATACAGTTATCACATACTAGTGGTTAGTTGGAAGTACTAGTATAGTTTATTATTTTATAATTTCAGTTCTTAACTGTCCATTGCTGAACATAGGACTTCCCCATAAAGAGAGTTGTGCCAATAATTATCAGTTAAGCTTTGGTGATGTTTTAAGAGAGACGCTGCTATACCTGGACCATTAAGTTCCCTTAATCGCCTCTTACGACACCCACGGAAAGGAAGGAGTGGTCCATTCTATGCCGGGACCACACTGAAAACTTCTAGTATAGTAGTATTCAAAACTGGCATCGCGGTAAACGTAAACTGAACAGACTATGGAATTAGTTTCCAGAACTGTTATGTTACAGAACAAACTATAGAACTGAAACTTAATCTACTTTTATAACTTATTCTATCAATAAGATCAATAAATTACCAATAATAATAATTACCAGAGGGAGACTTTGTACAAAAGTCGATTGCTTGGGTACCTCTGTCCCATTCGTGTTTCAACCGTGAAGCAGTTGTGTTTGCATGGCTGTGTTTCGGTTTGAAGGGTGGGATATGGCGTGAATTCACTAGGTACAGAGGAATAACACCTGAGTCCTCAGGAATGGCAACGTAGGGGGGTATCATGGGCGAAACAGTGTACTCTGTTATCTCCATAGTACTGCTCATGTCTATAGGCGACGGTTACCACTTTCCATCAGGTGGGCCGTCAGCTTGTTTGCCATTCCAAGTTGTATAAAAAAAATCTACAAAAGGAATAATAGAATGAAGTTGTCTTAATTTTAAAATAATTTAGATATTAAATCGTTTCGAAGATGTGGATTCGACCGTATTTTATATAAGTACACAGTTTATCCTCGTATAAAATTGCGATTTTAATCATTATTTAGAATCAAACGAGAATAATGATGATGAAGGTTTGTTTTCAAGTTATTCTTATATTTATTTATTCAGTGACCGTTTACCATCAGACGGGCTGTATGCTTGTTTGTCGTTTTATAATATAAAAAAAAAATTAAGAAAATATTTTCTTAACTTCCTTTAACAACTTATTAACGTCAATCTTCTAATCTCTTTCCAAAAAAAAGGTCAAAAAAAGTATTCTACAAAAATTCTGTTATATATATTTAAAGATTTTAATGTGTTTCACTATTCTATTTTGCTCGATACTCGTTCGCTGCACAACCAATTATATTTTCTGTTATTTTTGTCTACGGTTGAGTGGTAGATAAGACTAAATGATGTTAAATCCGTCTTTAATACTTTATAAGTATATTAAAGTTCACTAAGTACATATACCTATTGAAGTTAGTCAATTATTGGAGTTGGTGTTGGTTACAACTGACGTACGATCGGAGCCTAACGAAGGATGATCGCCCACGCGTATTAGTATCCCTATCGTTAAACAACGTTGTAACATGGACTTGGGCAGAGAAGCCTATCTCATGACTGTGTAATTTGGCTTGTTTCACTGCTTTCATACAGGTACCGAGAGGTTGGTATTTTGGTAGACAATGTCCTTAATTACGTGACTTCTGCATGAAGTAAATTCTCATTTCGCCTACGCTTTTCAGTTAGCTATGTTTTCAACAATGTTACATCGATTTTTATT